AAGCTGTATCTGATGAGAAGTATTTGATCATGCAGATGGTTGCCTTTGATTTAAAAACCTCTGGCAGCTTCTAATTAATCCCAAAGTTTTCTTAATCCTAGAACAAGTGGTGCCAGATCTCTGTGACATTCCTGTGCCCCCCCCCCCCCAGGAAAGTAGCACACTGGCATCCGGATTAAATTTTCTGTCAAGAACTTAAAATTGACAGAGGAGAAGTATGGCCCTTTGAGAACCCCCTTTGCTGAAACGATGGATGTCTCTTTTGGTATAGGTGGGTATGAACAACATAAAAAAGCTGCTTTATAATAGGTCAAATAATTTGTCCAGCTCAGAATTCTCTACCTTCTCTCAGCAGTAGCTCTCCACAGATCCCAGAAACTGCTCCCTGGGCCTTTTTAATTGGGATGTTGGGGATCCTGAGAGTTTCTACATGAAAAGGAGATTCTCTTCCAACAAGCTATGGTCCCTCCCTGAACATTTTGGAAGTTCTGCCTCTCCTCACCCCCTGCTTCTAAAGGCAAACACAAAAAATAGTGGATTGGTACAAGTGGGCGCGGGTGGCGCTGTGGGTTAAACCACAGAGCCTAGGACTTGCCGATCAGAAGGTCAGCGGTTCAAATCCCCGCGACAGAGTGAGCTCCCGTTGCTCGGTCCCTGCTCCTGCCAACCTAGCAGTTCGAAAGCACGTCAAAGTGCAAGTAGATAAATAGGTACCACTCCGGCGGAAAGGTAAACAGTGTTTCCGTGTGCTGCTCTGGTTCGCCAGAAGTGGCTTAATCATGCTCACCACATGACCCGGAAGCTGTACGCCAGCTCCCTTGGCCAATAAAGCAAGATGAGCGCCGCAACCCCAGAGTCGGTCACGACTGGACCTAATGGTCAGGGGTCCCTTTACCTTTACCTTACAAGACCTAATGTATAAAAACACTTAACTGACCACCACTATCAAATCCTCGCTCATTACAGCTGCAAAAAGGAGTGTATTTTCCAGCCCATATTTTGAAGCCATGCTCATTGGTGAGAGGGGATCCTATTCTCAGCTGGTAAGGATTTGGATAAACATAATTTGGGTACTTTTCAGTCCCATGTCATTTACTAAAGGTAAAGGTACCCCTGCCCGTACGGGCCAGTCTTGACAGACTCTGGGGTTGTGCGCCCATCTCACTCAAGAGGCTGGGGGCCAGCGCTGTCCGGAGACACTTCCGGGTCACGTGGCCAGCGTGACAAAGCTGCATCTGGCGAGCCAGCGCAGCACACGGAACGCTGTTTACCTTCCCGCTGGTAAGCGGTCCCTATTTATCTACTTGCACCCGGGAGTGCTTTCGAACTGCTAGGTTGGCAGGCGCTGGGACCGAACGATGGGAGCGCACCCCGCCACGGGGATTCGAACCACCGACCTTTCGATCGGCAAGTCCTAGTTGCTGAGGCTTTAACCCACAGCGCCACCCGCGTCCCATGTCATGTACTAGACAGTAGCAATATCATTTGTGGGCAAACCTAACAAGCTTTTGTCTTGGTGGGTTAGAAGCCTCAGCTGTTCATTTTGGCATGTTTTTTTGTAGAGGTGTGTATGTATATGTGTGTGTGTGTGTGTGTGTGTGTGTGTGTGTGTGTGTATATATACACACCTCACCTCACCTCACCCGAGGACACCAAAACCTGCATTCCTGTACCCGTGAAAATCTACGAAAGCATATATATATATATATATATATTTGCTTTCGTAGATTTTCACGGGTACAGGAATGCAGGTTTTGGTGTCCTCGGGTGTCTTCCCGTGTAAAAGTTGGGGTGTCTAGGCGACGTTTCGACGAGGTCTCACTCGTCATCTTCAGGCTGGTGCTTTCGGCTTCTTGTTACTGGAACAGAGCAGGATCTCAGTGTTTGAGTTCCTATAAATACTGTTGAGGGGGTGTGGTGTATAGCCTCCAATGTTCTGGGCAGAGAGGAAGTTCCCAGGCTAGTGTGCCTTTTCTTCTTTTGTTCCTTAATTACTTGAGGGATATCTTGAGTGATTTCTTGAGTGATATCCTGAGTACCACTTAGGTGGGTCATTAGGTGTGGATTAGTTGCTAAAGCCTTCGTGTCTTGACCTCTTGAACTTTGTGAAGAGTTTTTCTGAGAAGATGGCTGTATTGCATTTAGTTGTGCTCTGGCTTGGCTTCGTGTATAGGGGCGAGCTGTGGTTTTGTGTCCTGTGCCAGCCAGATCTGTGTAGGGATTGCAGGGGGGTGCAGCATCCGGAGGTGCCACCATGGTTTGGCTACTGGATGGTGTCTGTAATTTATCTGTGGAGAGGGTCTGGGTTTGGGTCTGGTGTGGTTGATTGGTGATGGCGTTCTGTGTGCCTCTGGATCTGGTGTCGGTTTTTGTGGGGAGGGCTAATTTCCAGATGTCTGGCAGGCGGGATGTGTCGTCACGCTTGTTCATGTTGTGAGGGTGTTTCTCTATCTCGATGGCTTCCATGATTATTCTCTTGTGGTGATGTTCCATGTTAGAGAGCAATTTGGAATCTGCAAAATTAATTTCGTGTCCTGTTTCTTTCATGTGTTGGAAAAGAGAGGAAGTTTTTTCTTCTTTTTTGACGGCATTCTTGTGTTCTGCGATACGTGCATTTATTCGTCTGTTTGTTTGTCCAATGTACGTGGCTGGGCAGACTTTGCAGGGTATTTCATAGACCCCTTGGTTTTCCAACTGGATTTTATCTCTCTCTTTTCCAACACATGAAAGAAACAGGACACGAAATTAATTTTGCAGATTCCAAATTGCTCTCTAACATGGAACATCACCACAAGAGAATAATCATGGAAGCCATCGAGATAGAGAAACACCCTCACAACATGAACAAGCGTGACGACACATCCCGCCTGCCAGACATCTGGAAATTAGCCCTCCCCACAAAAACCGACACCAGATCCAGAGGCACACAGAACGCCATCACCAATCAACCACACCAGACCCAAACCCAGACCCTCTCCACAGATAAATTACAGACACCATCCAGTAGCCAAACCATGGTGGCACCTCCGGATGCTGCACCCCCCTGCAATCCCTACACAGATCTGGCTGGCACAGGACACAAAACCACAGCTCGCCCCTATACACGAAGCCAAGCCAGAGCACAACTAAATGCAATACAGCCATCTTCTCAGAAAAACTCTTCACAAAGTTCAAGAGGTCAAGACACGAAGGCTTTAGCAACTAATCCACACCTAATGACCCACCTAAGTGGTACTCAGGATATCACTCAAGAAATCACTCAAGATATCCCTCAAGTAATTAAGGAACAAAAGAAGAAAAGGCACACTAGCCTGGGAACTTCCTCTCTGCCCAGAACATTGGAGGCTATACACCACACCCCCTCAACAGTATTTATAGGAACTCAAACACTGAGATCCTGCTCTGTTCCAGTAACAAGAAGCCGAAAGCACCAGCCTGAAGATGACGAGTGAGACCTCGTCGAAACGTCGCCTAGACACCCCAACTTTTACACGGGAAGACACCCGAGGACACCAAAACCTGCATATATATATATATATATATATATGCTTTAGAACTAACATCTGTGTTTCAGGTGCCACTGAAACTTTCCTGGAATAACACAGCAAATGCCACTAACGCTTTCTAAAGCGAGTCCCCCGCCTTGCTTGTCCTGCTCTACAAATCATATCAGGAGGGGGTATTATGAGGAACAGGAGAAGGCGTTGCTTTCGCTGATATTGTGTTGCTTCCCAGCACTGGAATGTAAGCAGGAACAGAGTTCAACCTACACTGGAACTTCCCTTAATGCCAGCAAATTGCACGCGAACTGGGATTAGTCGCACTAAAAGCAGCTTTGGGAAATGGCCAGAAACCACGTGAGAAGTCACTTTCTGGTTGTTTACCCATTTTCAAACACACGCCCAACCGTTCATCAAGCTAGAAACATGAGGGCCTTTCATGACAAACATGAATCTCCCCAGCTATCCAGTCCATGGTCCTCATACAAACTTTAATTGTGGTTTTCATTATGTAATTTGTGTTCTCATTTTGTATTTTTATGTTGTGAACCACCCTGTAATCTTCAGATGAAGGGCGGTATACGAATTTCATAAAGAACTATCAGTGCTATTTTTCTAGAAAGAGGTGCCTGAACTCACCACAAATGCCACCCCTTGTTCTCTTAGAATAGCAATGGCGCCCACTGAGGTGTGCCAGAACTGAGTGCCGGTGAGTTCTGGCTGCGGGAGGGAGCCTTGATAACAAAAATAGTAATAGTAATACAGTGGTACCTCGGGTTAAGAACTTAATTCGTTCTGGAGGTCCGTTCTTAACCTGAAACTGTTCTTAACCTGAGGTACCACTTTAGCTAATGGGGCCTCCTGCTGCTGCTGCCCCGTGATTTCTGTTCTTGTCCTGAAGCGAAGTTCTTAACCTGAGGTACTATTTCTGGGTTAGCGGAGTCTGTAACCTGAAGCGCCTGAGGTACCACTGTATTATTTATCTTCCCCTTATACTAGCAAACAGGATGGAAGGATGATAACAGGATAAGAATAAGAGAGAGGACATTAACAGGCCCCATTGCTTCTGCTATTGCAAGTTCGAACAGAGCTGGGAATAAAGCCATCTGATTTTGCCATAGGTTGTGAATAGTTTGGTGGATTTCATGATTTTAGAAATCAAAATGGCTATAGGCCTGAACCATTTTGTTGTTTCCAGGACTCCCCCCCCCCCAGCTGGATGTTTCTGGAGTGTTTATGTCCATGTGGCTTGGGCCTATGTGCCATGAATGACCTTTACCTGCACATGCAAGTGTTGTAACATGGATCTATGGTAGGTGCACAGGAATAGCTGCAACCACTGGGTGGCTGTGATGTTTCTCCTTCATACGTCCAAGCCTTGTCCAATCCTGAGACTTTCTGGTTCAAGCACATCATTATAGCTCATAGTTCTAGATCCACCCAGTTGTACCATTCTGAAACAGGGTCGAGAATTTCCTTTGTTCTTAGGTGAAAACACGCTTGAAGGAAACATTACATTTATTGCATAATACTGGGCTATGTACACACATAGAAAATAAACATCTGATAGAGCTGTATTTAACGCTGTAGTAGAAAGAGGCTGATTGGCTACCCAAGTAGCAAATCAGAGTGTTAATTCCTTTTCTTAAAATAAAATAAAAATCCCGATACCTTCACAGCTTTTTCATCAAAAGGTGCAAAATACAGTTTCGATGCTATGATTAAGCGAAGGATAGACAAATACCGAGGCCCCAATCCAACCCAAGAAGACTGTGATTCAACGCCAAATTCGACATGGCATCCTATGGGGCACAATGCCACTTGGGACTGCCAACAGGGAGTGGAGGGTTGAATCCCCCCATCCCCTGCGGCCCAGCTGGCTTGGCCCATGTCAGCTGAGCAAAGTCAAAGGTCAAATCAAGTTTGGCACAGAGTCCCCATGATAACAGCCGAGTTGTGACTCACTCCACCGCTCCTCGCAGTACTTGAAAGGTCATAAACAACCAGCTTTGGCAGGACCGAGGCCACCTTGTTATATAAATAAATCCATTCTCCAGGATCACAAGTTCAGATTAATAATGGACCTTGGAAGAGAGGAGAGTGCTCATCATGACATCTATGGTGGATATGGGTTCTTCTGGGGTAGGGGGTCAAGAGGTAAGGGTGTAGAAACTGCTTCATCAGCTTCTCTCAGTGTAAATGTGCACCAGGGACCTGCATTTCTCCATAGAAGACGAGAAATAGTACCATCCAGTTCAGAAATAGGGGACCTGTGGACCTCCAGATGTTGCCAGACTCACTGTCCCATCATCCCTGACCACTGGGCCAGGCTGGCTGGGGCTGATGGGAGTTGGAGTCCATCCAATAGCTGGAGATCCATGGAAATCCCATCCCTGATGGGGCAGGATGGTGGCTGCTGCCCACCCTTGGGCTGAAGGTGGGAAAGGGCTTCTGTACTACCTTGCAAAAGACCCCCAAGTGCAGAGATAGTGGGGGGTGGGAAGGGAGACATGAGGTGTGTTTTGTGGAGGAATTGCTGTGAGAATCCCATCACTGAAATGGGGGGGGGCAGGGAATCATCACTGTATTTCAAAACACACACACACAGCTGTTAAAAAACACCCAACAGCATAAAATATCAAATAATTCAGGTAGGCCACCTAGGTCTTCATGAGCATTCCTCGTTCCCATTCCTCTACATGCAAGGCCCTGAAATTCTTCTGGTCACACAGAAGGCAGTAAAATTATTTACCTCTCCTCCCATTTTTTTGTAGACAATAGGCAACAGGGAGTAGAAAATGTTAGAAAATTCAACTCATAAAATCTTCATTTCTGCCCAAACATTCACATACTAATCTTCTCTGTGTTAAATTATCCACTTCTTAGCTCCCCGGTACTGTTGAACAGCCAAGGAGCACGCTTGTTTTACCACAGAAATTACCTGTGTTAGGGAACCCGTACGTGTGGAGACAAGGAAAGCTTTCACACAGCTTTATATTTCCAAACTGTGAAGAGACATCTCAAAATATTGAAGGTATTTTTAAACAAGAGGACGGGCGAGCAAGGAAAGAAAAAGGCATCTAACAGCCAGTAAGACGACAGACAACGTGTCAACAGATTTTTGTTTTTGAAAAGTAGTAAAGTCAAAATCCTGAGGAACGTTGACCAGACTTCACTGGGGGGGGGGGTGTCCTTGATCCTATGCTCTTCCCTTCTCTCCTCCCTGCACTCACCCTCCCTATCTCAAGGAGTATCTTTATCCCATTTCCCTTACAAAAATAAAAACAAGACAGTATTTCCTTTCTATACAAGAATTGTCTGTGTTGGGGGCTGCTTCCCCTCAGGCCAAGCTGAAGCCCTCATAGTGGTCGATGGCTTGAGTGAGTCTCGTGCTCAGGACTTCTTTGCTGCTATACTTGGGGAGGTCGAGGAGGTTGTAGCAGGTGTGCGCCACCGGCAAGTACTGCTCCCCGCTGGAAGTGGACTGGATCACGATGCGCAAACTCGACATGCCGTAGATGGGGATGCGGTCGCTGCCGGTCAGAAACACTGGAAGGGGGAACATAAAAGCATCAGCGGAGCCCTGAAGAGGGTGTCCTGTTCTCGCAAGTGGCCAAACAGATGATATGGAACCTGAGGACAATAGCTTTTGAGGGGCCACCAACTGGCATTCGAAGGCATCCTGGATCAGGCAGTGGAAGCTCACCCATCCCAAGCACCTATCATTCTAGTTTCAGGTAGGTAGCCGTCTTGGTCTGCCGTAGTCAAAATAAAATAAAAAATAAAAAATTCCTTCCAGTAGCACCTTAGAGACCAACTAAGTTAGTTATTGGTATGAGATAATGTCTAAGATATAAAATAAATGTATCGGGCAAACACATACATTACCGGTAAATATATAAACCACGTGTCTGAAACAGTACAGGAAAACAGTCCTAAAGCCATTTTGACTCTTGCAGTGACCTCAAATATTCCTCTGCAGTTTGGATGGCAATGGGAAAAGCCTCCCCATTGTCTCTGTGCTCACAAATCCTGCCTTAAGGGCACATTTGGGTATGAATAGGGTGAGCCTGTGACCTGGACTCAGGAATTAAGTATTTATCATCACAAAAGAATGGCTAGCTGTCCAGGTAAACCCTTTAACAGGTTTCCTGCCAGACAGGATTCTGCTGTAGACCACCCCTTCTGTGGTGTATGTATGATGTATTGGGCTACAAATTGGGTGCAAATTCAAAAGTCTATACAGTATAAGGGCTTGCGCACCATTGTTCTGGGTTCCTTCTACCTCCTGCGGGGGGGGGGGGGGGAAGCACCCTGTTGCAACAGTTTAATAAATATCAGGCTTACTAGCTGTTTTGCTTCTCAATATTCTCTGGTTGGCCTCTGTTGTTTTCTCCTACCGATAGAGAACCTACATAAGGATGCTATATGGGCTCTTGGGTACCCCATAAGGGAAAAGGAGCAGTTTTTCTTATAACAATTCCCTTTTAAAAAATACCAGCACTCTTCCCTCATCTCATTCTTTCTGCTTCCTGAACAAGTTAAGAAATTGATGAAAACTATTCTGTTTCGGTGGGCCTGTTCAGGCACAATATTTGGTGTTATCTGTCCTTAAATTTGTTTCTAATGTTTTGTGCTTTATTCTTTTTAGAAATTTTAAATATGTGGAGTTTTTACTGCATTTTTAAAAAATAATTGAAGTGTTTGCTGCCCTGGGCTCCTTTGGGAGAAGCAGCGGGATATAGATTTAAGTGTGACAACAACAATACAGGCAGCTCCCCACCCTTGTTTTCCACATTCAACAAAAGCCACATGTTGAGTCTCCTCCTTGGCCACTTTGGACAGCCGACTGCAGAGAAAATTCCATGCACAAGGGAAGATTCCCCACAAGCAGGGAGGGCCAGTATCAAAAGCTTCACCTTAATGCAGAAGTGAGATCTGGACAGGAAGTTCCAATCTCAGCAGCTCACTCCCTTCACCACTGTGCCAGAGAACAGGTAAAGAGAAGCCTGCCACCTGGTGGAAGGCATTCAGGTGTGTTTCATACAGTGGTACCTCCGGTTGCAAACAATCTTTTCTGGAGGTCCGTACCGCTCGTAACATGAGGCGTGCTTTCCCTAATGGTGCCTCCTGCTGCTGCTGCACCGCTGCAGCGCAGCTTCCGCCTGCATCCCGGGACAAAGGTTGCAAAAAGGGGCATCTACTTCCGGGTTGGCGGAGCGCGTAACCCACAGCATTCGTAAGGGGGACGGTGCGTAACACGAGGTACCACTGTATATATTAAGCTAGCAAGAACAAGTTATTGGCTTTGACTGCCGAAATCCAAGGGGAAACTGCCATCGCACTAAAAAACCAAAACTAGTTACTTACAGAGAAACTTTTTCTTCTTTTCCAGAGGAAACTCGTGAAAGATCTCCCAGAACATTTGCACGGTTGGATGGGTAGCCGTGTAGTCCCCTTTGTAAACTGCGCTCTGTAAAAAAGGGTTAGTTTTAAGAACTCATGGCAAACCTGAAAGACCGCCTGCCCCTGTATGGACCTGTAAGAACGCTTACATCATAGGGCAATAACTCCCAAATGGGCATTTTATGCTGTTGCCCCTTCTATGGAATGTCCTTCCCTCTGCCACGTGTAAAGCAGCAACTACCAATTGCTTCAGACATCTTTTTAACTTTCTGTCCAGCCTTTCCCTGACCCATTAATATAGAACCCTGATTTATGTGTATGAGTCCCTTGAATTTCTGTTTAATGTTATATCATTTTATTGGTTTTAGGCTGTGTTCTTGTTTTAATGGATGTTGTGCTTTTGTATCGTGCTTGGAGATTTTTAAAATATTGAGAAGTTTAGAGGTGCTTTCAAATAAACAATGTAATAACTTTCAAAGGCATATACATATTTTGAACTTTGTAAAAGGACTCGGAAGGTTGCAAATGCTCAAACTGCATTCTCTAGCTTGGTCCAGGAGGGTTATAAATATCTTCATAATTTAGAGATGCAAGCACATTGAATTCCAAAGCTGTTGGATGCTGATTCCCCTGACACAGCTGTTCACTCAGAGAGGATGTTGAACCATTTTGAACCAACATGCTCTTTTAAGAACAGGACCTCTGCAGCTCTCCAGTAAGGCTCCAATCCCAAACATACCCGGCTAGGAAGTCGGCCCTATTGGACACAGTGGGACTTACTTCCAAGTAAACACACACAGGATCGGGCTGGCAGTGGAAAAGGAGGAACCACACTGAAATGCACTGAGCACAGCATATTGCAAAAAAACAACAACCACCAAAACCAAGCCTCATTATTATTTTACTTCAAGAATCATTTGAGCGAGGGCTTTGCTTTCATGTTTAGTTTACTGTTTGGTGCTTTCTCCAACGAACTGAACCACTCGGCGAAATTCTCCTGAGTGTCAGACTAGGAACAAGAAGGTGCATGTTCATATAGCCTACTTAAGTCAGGAAGCTAACAGGTTGATATTTCAACCTCTCCTACCTCGCAGGGTGGCTGTGAGGATAAAATAGAGAGGAGGAGAACCATGCACACTTTGGAAGACAGGTGAGGGGGGGAAATGGAGAAAACAGTAAATAATTAAGAGAGAGATGGGGGCGTTCTTAGGTCTCACATCCTAGCCAGACAGATTCGCAGAAGGTAAAGATTAAGGTTTTGCTCAGGACAGTAGTGTGGTGGTCAGGTGGGATTGCTATGAGGAATTATGAAAAATGAAGCAAGCCATTGTGTCAGCAATGAAAGCATTGCTTTGGCTGGGCTTGAGCCCTTTGACATGATTTCTGATCAATCCAAGCCCCTGCATCTCTGCCCCATTTCTCTTGCCTGACAAGTCACGTACACAGACCGGTTGCTTCACCAGGCATCCTCAGTACGTAAGATAAGGAGGTAGCTTTGATGTAGCTTTTGTGAATCTTTAGGTAGATTTTAAGGGCCAGGAAGAGAGTTTATAAGAAGGCGGTAATTGCCTGACTTTCCTTTCCGTCCTTCCTTTCCTGTTTACTGCCCGTTTATGACCTCCGGGTTTGCTAAATGCATTCCTCCTTGATTCCTGTTTATTTAGCCTAAAACATGTATGCATGCTCAAAGTAGTTCTTTGTAGTTAAAAGGATTTCTCTGATTTACCTTGATCCCCACATGGTGATTTTTTGAAATGCTCATGGGAAATCTGATTGGTTCTTACAAACGCTGTGTAAGAGTTCTTTTGTTAATAAAATGGCCTGGACGAGGGAGTGGCTATTGACACTTCCTCCCAGAGTCTTGCTGGCCAAGCCTCGTATCTATTTTATTAATCAGGGTCCAATCCTTCCTTTGCCTTCGGAACACAAAATGTACAGAAGGATGTGCCTGCTTACCTCTTCCAGTTCCTTCCAGTTGTAGTTGCTGCTCCCGACAATCATGGCTCTCAGCTCAGTGGGCTGGAACATTTCTAGAACTTTACCCCCACACACCTTCAGGAAGCCCGTGGAGAAAGCCATGTACCACTCGTCTACCGAAAGGTTAAAGACATAATTAACGTATGCATCGACGAATTCCTCCCTGGGGGATTCAAAGAAAAAGTACTGGTCATTACGAAGAAGCAAACAGTGGCAGATAAGGGTGCTGTCGGCTGAAGCCACTGTCCACCCAGACAGCAAGGGGTACCGCTTCCAAAAGTTGTTTGGAAGATCACGCGCATTTCATAAAATGAATTTACACTGCAAACCACTGTACAATCTGCACTACTTCGGCACAGGATTTTTAAAATTAGAAACGTAACATATGCCTGCAGGATCAGGCTAGTTAGGCCCATCTAGTCCAGCATCCTCTTCCCATAGTGGTCAACTGCATGAACCAGCTGTGGGGGGAAAACTTCCCCTTCTCCTTCCATCATATTTTCAGACTCCAGAAAAAAAGAAACCTCAAACCAAGCTCTGGGCGATGTTTGCCTATGTAAATCTATGGCAAATATTACCGAACAAAATGTGCGGTGTTAATCTAAAAGACTTTGGATCCATTTTATTGTTTCGCATTCCCCCCCGGGACCAAACCAAATGTCAGGAAACGAGGAAGGATGAAGAGCAGATGGCAGAACCTTTTCTACCTTATTGCATTTTTTGTTTCCCCCAACACAGTCTGGTTATTTTTTTCATGCATGGTCCCTCGTGGCTCCTGCGCAACAGTACTTCTCCACCCACCCCCCTCCATCTTTTATTTTCTTAAGATTTCTATCCTCCCAATCTGAAGAGCCCAATACAGAGTCCCCTTGCTGGGCTCATCCCAAAACAGCCGCTACGAAGGACCCTGTTGTGTCACTTGTGAAATAACCACAGAGAGCATCTTTAGACATCAGATGGTATGCACCTGTTATCTTTCTGCACTGGAATTTTGTCTCCGTCAGGGATGAGGTTCTTCTGCTCTGCCACTCCATAGCTTTCTCTGCACATCTGTTTGTTTGTTTTCCCACCCCAGAAAAAGACAACAAAATTGCTTCATTCTGTATCTCATCAACACAGCTTAATACAATAAAAAATGACATTAAATCATATAACTGTAGAGTGGGAAGGGACCCAGGGGGGAATCATCTAGTCCAGCGGTTCTCAACCTGTGGGTCCCCAGATGTTGCTGGACTACAACTCCCATCATCCCTGAGCTCTGGCCTTGCTAGCTAGAGGTGATGGGAGTTGTAGTTCAACATCTGGTGACCCACAGGTTGAGAAAGGCTGATCTAGTCCAATCCCCTGCAGTGCAAGAATCTTTTGCCCAATGCAGGACTCGAACTCATGTCCTTGAGATCAAGAGTCCCATGCTCTACCAATTTGAGAGCAATGTGCAGTTTATCTCTGACCACGTTTCCACACCCTTGGCATACCGCTGGATTGTAGCCAATGAGGCACAATCCAGATTAAAATCAAATGAGCTCCATTTCCATCGACACCAGGAAGAACTTCAAAATGCAGCTAAACCTTCTCTGTGGTGTCCATTTCATGAACATGGATCTGAGCCAAGAAGTACACCCTCAAAAATGGGTGTTCCTTTGACAGCGTGGTGTAGCGGTTAGAGCGTCGGATGAGGACATGAGACACCAAGGTTCAAATCCTCACTCGGCCATCAAGCTCACTGGGTGACCTTGGGCCAGTTGCTGTCTCTCAGCCTAACCAACCTAGCCTATTTTCCAAAAAAAAAAGGTTTAAAAACCTTTTGGTTGACCTTATAAAAAAAAGATCAATCACTTTAAAATACTGATTTCTTATTTTGGTGCTCCCCAGAATAGGACTCGTCTTATGCATGGGGTCATGTTATACACGGGAAAATACGGTAAATGCGAGAGACAGGCAGATAGATGGTCTTACCGTGAAATATAGGCAGAATGTCTCTTCAACATCATCTCCAGGGTAATCTAATAGCTGCTGAAGACTCCTATAAATAAGGTAAAGGAAATGTAAAGGCAGAAAGACATTAGGAGAGAGGGAAAAGTCTGCATCTGAGAATGCTGTGTTGCTTGTACAGTGGTGCCCCGCAAGACGAATGCCTCGCAAGACGGAAAACCCACTAGACGAAAGGGTTTTCCGTTTTGGAGGTGCTTCGCAAAACGAATTTCCTATGGGCTTGCTTCGCAAGACGAAAATGTCTTGCAAGTTCCTGCAGGGTTCCCCCCCCCTTTTTCCCAAGCTGCTAAGCTGCTTATCAGCTGATCCGCTAAGCCGCTTATCAGATGATCCGCTAAGCCGCTTAACAGCTGATCCGCTAAGCCGCTTATCAGCTGATGCGCTAAGCCGCTAATAGCGCTAATCTGCTAAGCGGCTTGCTTTGCAAGACGAAAAAACCACAAGACGAAGAGACTCGCGGAACGGATTCTTTTCGTCTTGCGAGGCACCACTGTACAGTACATAAGCCTCTTCCTTGCACTGCTATTAAGGATTTATGGTATCAAATTTTAGGACGGAATTGAGGAAAGCGGGCCAAAAAATACAATCTGATCCAAAAAAGTTACAGGGGAGAGTTTCAATTTGAATTATTTGTTCATTAACAGTTGCCAAAAAAATAAAACACTGCTGCATACTGGAATTTTCCACAGTTACGTTAAAACAGTGTAAAAGAAAGAGTATGTCAAATGCAGAATTCTTAACCGATGGATATATGATAAGAACTCAAAGAGCCACAGCCAAACAGTTTCACATTATTTAAGTATATAGATTATAGCACGTAAAAATGGTAGGTTTCAGGAATGCGTTCAACCTCACACATTATTTTCTGTTTTGTAAATATCATGCTTGTATGACTTTGTTTTGCTTTTTATTTTAATGGGTGTAATGAAAAATAAAAATTCTCATCCCCAAAAGTAACACTGATATCAGTTTGGGGCAACAGAACTCCAACACGAAATATTCTCATTGGAGAAGGATGGAAACATAGGTGTACAGTGGTACCTCAGGTTACATACGCTTCAGGTTACAGACTCCGCTAACCAAGAAATAGTGCTTCAGGTTGAGAACTTTGCTTCAGGATCAGAACAGAAATCATGCTCCGGCGGAGCAGCGGCAGCAGGAGGCCCCATTAGCTAAAGTGGTGCTTCAGGTTAAGAACAGTTTCAGGTTAAGAACAGACCTCCAGAACGAATTAAGCACTTAACCTGAGATACCACTGTATTCCTTCTTCCAATGGTTTGCTCCCCCCCCCTCATAACAGGGACACATCCTGCCTTCCATCCCCCACCCCCAGCACTGCCCAAATTTTATGAAAGTGCCATTGCCAAATTCAATCTAGGCCGATTGCGAAGTGGACAGGAAGACATAATTCCAATACTTTCTACCTTCCTTCTGTGGGCGAAAGCTCCTTCAAGTCTTCCAAGCACGGCTTCACATTCAGGAGTTTCTTGTAGAGGGCCAATGGAAAGTGAAGATCCACAACAGTGAAGTTGTATATGGCCAGACCGCAGATGATGCCAATCAGGTGGAACCAGTTGTGCTCTACAAAACACTTCGGACACACACAGAGAAGGACTAGTTAGCAGGAGGAAAGCGTCAGCGAGGAGCTGGAAAGGTGTAGATCTGGAAAGTGGCTAAAAATCCCTCCCCTGGGCTGAGAGTCTCCAAACTACACCAAAGCCAGGGTGAATAAAAATCAGTGATTTTTTTAAAAAATATCAAAAAAATTGAATTTTAAAAATTTTAATCAGATTTTTAAAATAAAATGCTTTTGGAGGGAAAATCTTTATAAAGATAGTTTTCTATTTAAGTTACATTATAGTCCAAAGGCTATTCATCAGGAAATAAGGATTTGTTTTAAGTTTTTCATGTGTGCTAAAACTCAGTCTGTTTTTTTAAAAAACAAACAAACCATTAACCACATCAGTTAGCAAACATGGATACATATGCTATAATGTTATTGTTTTAGTTAAATAAATTGTTTAAATTGTTATTAAGGAAATGATTTTTTTTCTCCTTCCAATATAGTGCAGCAGAAAAGTTGTCCAAATATAATGTTAACTTATAAAACCTCACAATAATTTCATAATTATTTGTCCGTGTATTTCTAATAGGATAACCAAATCAGTAATTTTTTTATATAACTGTAAAAACTACTCTGAAAATTTATTATTCCAAAAATGAAACCTTCATCTGGTTGTAAATATTAAGATTATACCAGAAAGAATGAGTCTTTCTGTAAAAAAACAAAACAAAAAACAACAACGTTTAAATCAAGTCTTACTAACTAGTAATTTAAATCGTGATTTAACTCCATTTGATTTAAATCAAATCCATCATGCACTAAGCTAAGCAGGATCCCTGGCAAACAGTTTGTGAGTGCATAAACCAAGCACACTTACAGTATCCGAAAACCACAGCAGGTTTGATTCGGGGTAGCAGGTGAACATCCCATAGATAGGATTCAGGAGCTCTTTTAGCAGCAGGAGGAAGAACTCCTTTGTGACACCGCCAGCATCAACCGCCTCCTCACCGTCAAAGATCACCTGCCACAATGCCCAAAATGGAGCTTCAGCAATTGCAACCAAGTAACAGCCAACTGAGCCATACTCCAAGCAGATCCAATAGAGACTTAAGTCCACCAATTTCAATGAGTCACTATGATTCCATTTTAAGCAGAAGAGGATTCCCTCAAAGAATTCTGGGAGCTGAGGTTTGCCCAGGGTACTGAGAGTTGTTAGGAGACCCCCTGTTCCCCACGCACAGAACTACAATTCCCAGAGTTCCCTGGGGAGAGAGATTGATTGTTAAACCGCTCTGCAAATTGTAGCTCTGAGGGGAAACAGGGGTGTCTCTTAACAACTCTGGCATCCTTAACTACAGTTCCCAGAATCCTTTGGGTGTTTAAAGTGATATGATACTACTTTAAATGTGTGGCTATTATTGCCTACTGTCTTAATGTGATTCTTCTGTCTGGAGCAGCACCAGAGAATTATGAACAAACCTCAGTATGCTTTGCTGTCGGAAACTTGGAGCAAGGCCTCAGTAGATTAGGCAATTTTTCTATGTGGGGAGACTTATTACATATGGATATGCACTCATATTCCATTCTGAAGGAAATCAGCCCTGAGTGCTCACTGGAAGGACAGATCCTGAAGCTGAGGCTCCAATACTTTGGCCACCTCATGAGAAGAGAAGACTCCCTGGAAAAGACCCTGATGTTGGGAAAGATTGAGGGCACAAGGAGAAGGGGACGGCAGAGGACGAGATGGTTGGATAGTGTTCTCGAAGCTACCAGCATGAGTTTGACCAGACTGCGGGAGGCAGTGGAAAACAGGAGTGCCTGGTGTGCTCTGGTCCATGGGGTCATGAAGAGTCGGACACGACTAAATGACTAAACAACAACAACAAATGCACTCATATGCACTCCATTGTGTGAGCGGCCACTTTCATACTGAAGTGATACAGGCCAGACACAGATTTAGTGCCTCACTGAGGAGGACCAGGCCCAAACACCAAACAAACTATTGCAGCGAGGAGCTGCCACAGGGCCTTACCTTCAGAGGCTTTTTCAAGTCAATATCCGAATGGATGCTCAACTCCCTCAAGGCGTCGCCAACCAAGTTGGTCCTACGAACATGGAGGACCAGGAAGGGGCTTCGAGCCAAGAGGGGCTCAAGGGTGAGGAGCATGAAAACGTTCTGCAGATTCGCCCCACTGATGGCCACCTATCAAAACCACATACAAAAGTCAAGAGCGGCAGCAGCAACGACAAACAACAAATGTACTGAGCCCCTGGGTTCTCCATTCCCGGCATAGAGGAAGTCGTACCTGTGGAAACAGGGTTTACTGGCAATTCGCTTTGGGCAGGGGGTAGAAGTGATGCTGTGTTGCCTCCTGAAAACAACATTCCTGTAAAACCAGCTGCTTTGCAAGGATGCCCTCCTAACTCGCTTTGCCCCTTCCTAGTGTTTGGAAATATCTTGACTGGGCCAGGAAGAGTGCCTATTTCCCTGCGAAAAATATCCACGTAGGAGGACAGGGGAGGGTGAGCCACGTGCCTCCCGCACAGATTTTGCAAAAGTTATTGACGATCAAGAGCCAGTAGGAAATCCCATTTTTTAATCTCCCTCCACCCCAAAAAGGGGAAAAGGTCCCCCCCCATTGATACTACTTTAATTCTGCTGCAACGTTTTCCTTGTTGTTTCAAGGTTTTGATTAATGCTTTTCATAATATGGAAAACCCTTGTAACCCTTTTTGGGGGGAGGTGAAGGTCAGTGCAGAAAATATGTTAATAAATAAATGCATGGATGAAAACGGCTGGGATTGGCAGAAAGAGGGGACCTGGCCGCCTTACCTGCATCTGCAGCTCAGCATCCGTCTGCAGCATCTTGGTCTTGGCTTGCGCGTCGAAGATGAAAGGGTAAGAGCACAGAGTCACGGCATCCTGGAAAGTAGGAGCAGTTGAATTTAGCGGTGGCAGCCTGGGCCTCTGCTGAGAACTACTTTGGCAAGAGTAATTGGAATGGTTACCTGCATAATTGATGGTCTGACTTTCTGGGGAGGGGGAGAAGGGCGAGGAGAGAGAGAGAGAGAGAGAGAGAGAGAGAGAGAGAGGAGGGAGGGAGAGAGAGAATGAATAATGTGTGAGCTTTTACTTAGAACAGTACCATCAGTTATGTTTTAATCCTATCCTTCCCCCAAAGGGTAGCCTATGTTCTCACAACAACAATATGAGGTAGGCTTAGGAGCAGATAATGTGGGTGGCTGACCCCACCCCCAATAAGATATGTGGCTCCTCTGTCCAAGTCCGACACCATAAGCACTAGATCAGGGGTCAGCAAACTGTTTCAGCAGGGGGCCGGTCCACTGTCCCTCAGACCTTGTGGGAGGCCGGACTATTTTTTGGGGAGGGGGAATTAACGAATTCCTATGCCCCACAAATAACCCAGAGATGCATTTTAAATAAAAGCACACATTCTACTCATGTAAAAACACGCTGATTCCCGGACCGTCTGCAGGCTGGATTTAGAAGGCGATTGGTCCGGATCCGGCCCCCAGGGCCTTAGTTTGCCTGACCATGCACTAGATTAAAACAAAGGCTGGCCCATTTCATGGGTCTTTTTGTGGTTTGCAAACTACATGCACACACACAAGCTGCCTCTCTGTGGAGTAGTGGCTCTAGGACCCACCCCAACCCATTTGGTAGAGAAGGTTGGTTCGTGCCTCTCGAACCAAGAATGAACAGAACCTGCTAGAGAAGTGCCAGGTATGTTTTATTTAGGGTCCAGTGTTCCTTTCACAGACAAGTCCTTCTGCATTTCCATTTCTCCCACATCTTTCCCCCCCCCCCACCCTGCTTTTGGCTCAGGGCTAAGGTCATCACCTCACCTCAGCTGCTGGTTAGGGACTCGCTCCTACCCAATGCCTCTCTCCTACGCTTCTCCTCTGGCCTCTACTCCAACAGGAGGGTGTCTCTCCTTCAGTTCCCAGTGCCTTACCGTCCCCAGATTCAAAGTTTGTTATGCAACACTGGGGTTGGGGAGGAAGCTTCTTCTCAAGAAACATGCTTCTAAAAGGTCCAGAGGACACACAACTAATCTTGCAGTTCTTGGGATCTTGGCCATTAACTGTATTTTTAGCTGCATCTTGAAGTTTCCCATACCTGAGACCATATGGGATGCCAAACATGGGGAAGATGGTCATAGTTTGCCCCAAACAGCCTAGCAGCCCACCTGGTTTCTATACTACATACACTGGAGATATTTTACATGCATGCATGTATAGGTATCTTATACACACAAACACTTGCTATTTTGAGAATATTGCTGGTTTTTTTCTTTTTAAAAAAATGGAAAAAATGGGGGGGGGGGGAACCCAGCTTCTAGCCCTTGTGGGGAGAATGATCTGAAAACAGACTTGGAACTCAAGTTTAAGGTTCCACATCGGATTTCAATATCCTGAACCACCATTCTTTCCTCTTTGCCATCTACCTCTTTGTCTCTAATGTCCACATCAACCCGTTTCTCTTGGATCCTACTGGGAGACCACATAATCCCTAAACTTTCCACGTCTCCCAGACATCCAAATCTTGAAAACAAGCTAAATATGCACGGTGACCACTTACATTAAAAGCCTATAACGACTGTGGAATTTGCATTTGTACGGTGATCCATTTTGACACAACGCTCATAGCTTTACAGCTGCAAACCCTGGGTTATTCCCTCCCCTCACAACCAATTGCATGACACCTCTTACCATTCCAGCTTGATGCAAAAACCACATCAGGTAGTCTTCCTGGATATCCACCAGACTGGAAATCTCTGGGATATAAAACTTGTCATATTCTACGTGTTTTACTTTCTGATTTACCTGATTTGGGAAAGAAGAAGGAAACAGTTCTTTGAAGAAGCAGAAGAGAATAATAACCAGTTCCCTCAAACAAAACGGCATGAAAACCCAACATTTAAGTCAGTTACAAGCTTACAAGTACAGACACGTGCTGAACAAGTTTAGGAATAGAAGGCACACCGAGAACAGGAAGGTCACAGCAGAGGAATGAGTGGTCAACACAAGCCCAGTGCACAGAACTAGGTGCATAATAAAAGCAAGGGAGATTTAACATTTGCAGAAGGGCCTACACGGGCACACACGGGCAAAACAAACCACAACCTTTGTACATCAAAACAAGGTGTGGTCTGAGCCGAGACACCAAAAGGGCCCAGCACAAGGACAAACTTCCACTGCACATGTTGACAGCATTTGCATCAAAGGCGACACCATAGTTTAACCCCAGCAGGAAAAGGGAAGGGCTGAGCCTCAGTGGTAGAGCATGCAATAGTGGAAGAAACAGCTCTTCACCTTGACTTTTGACACCTGAGATAGGTGATTTTAGGGCCCACCCTATTCCTGCAACTAACTTGCTTTGAACTGGTTTTAATGCTGTGATTTTAAATTGCTGCGACACCCCCGGCCCCAAACTCTGGGAATTGATAGTGAAGGGTAGGGTTAACGCATGGTAATTGTGATTACTAAATTGTTTTGCATGCAGAAGATCCCAAGTTCAATACGTGGCACTCCCAGAAAGGGCTGGGAGAGGGCTCTGTCTGAAATTCTGGAGAGCCACTGCCAATCAGTGGAGCTAGATGAACCAACGATGGGCTCCGTTTTCTAAGGAGCCCATGCAAAGGGCTTGCCTTGCACACCCGCTTCCCCTTCCCCTCCTTCTTCCTGGGTTGGTAGGAAGAGGAACAAAGCAAGATTCCATTTTGACTTTTCATAGATTCTTGGGCCGCATCATTATGTGCACGCCAGAAATACGTGGGCTCATATTTACATCCTAGCCAATTTCAAACGAAACCAACTTGGGTTTTAGTGGGTTCTTGCTAACCACATTTCAAATCATGATCATAGACAACAACGAGTTGGGAACCTTTTGATAGTGGCCTCTGCTTGCTTGCTCCACTGTCGAACAGCTCTTACTGTCAGGAAGTTCTTCCTAATGTTTAGGTGGAATCTTCTTTCTTGTAGTTTGGATCCATTGCTCCGTGTCCGCTTCTCTGGAGCAGCAGAGAACATCCTTTCTCCCTCCTCTATGTGACATCCTTTTATATATTTGAACATGGCTATCATATCACCCCTTAACCTCCTCTTCTCCAGGCTAAACATGCCCAGCTCCCTTAGCCGTTCCTCATAAGGCATCGTTTCCAGGCCTTTGACCATTTTGGTTGCCCTCCTCTGGACACGTTCCAGTTTGTCAGTGTCCTTCTACACAGTTCCTGGTTCATGTGTGCTGCTGACAAGACAGGAGAAGTGAAACGGAACCCTGGTTTATTTCTCCTCCGGGAAATAAGCTGGAGAGGGGATGGGGTGTTCGTGAGTCTTGCTCGGGATCACAGAGGCTCGATTCGTGTAAAGTTAAATGGTGGTTTGGCATGACATGCGAAAACAGCCACTCTGCACAGGGACGCAACCACCGCAGTTTCCTTACTTTATGAAGTTTCTCCAGAAGCTTGAGTGCAGCTGTGATGTAACTGCCATACAAGACAGGGATCAATAATGTTTTTCTTCCGTTCAAGAGGTAAACCACGGCACCTTTGTAGAGATCCACCAGCCTCAAGAAGTACCCTGGACACACCTGAGACCACCAGTTATCTAAACAGGGTTACACAAAGCAAAACATGTAGCTATTAACTTAATCACAGAATCGTAGTTGGAGTGTCATCTAGATCAAACATGACAGATCTCAACTAGATCCTACATGGCAAATGGCCATCCAACCTCTGCTTAAAAACCTCCAAGGCTTCAGGAGCATTATGATGATCCTATTAACAGGCATATTTGCTTTGGGGGGGAGGGAAGAACCACCAACGTATGATGCCTATACTATTTGTAAACACTAAAATCCCAGCATATGAATGGGGTCAGATTTGCAGTTTGATAAATGCATTCCTACAGATCTTAAGCATGTTCACTTAAGGAGCAAGTCCCACTGAACTGCGTGGGCCTTATATTCCCAAGTAAGGTAGTGCAAAAAGGTCTTCGGTCTTTGTCAAGCTTCACACTTGACGAAAAGACAGCTGATGGCAGGGGTGCCGAGAGTTGCAGCTCGGCAATATCGGGAGGACCGCAGGTTCCCCATCCCTAGTTTATGGTAGTGTGGCTGAATACGCCTTGAACGCCACAGGCAGTCGCTTTACACCAGGTGTGGCGATCACACACAGGGTCCCCGGACGTTTGACGGTCTATTGACCCTTTGCCGCCACTGTGATTGCTTTTTCCGCTGCCACCACCCCGTATCTCACGGGGACACACGGAGTCCAGTCAGTTGTTAACATAAACAAATAATCAAGTTTATTTTTAAATGCAGGAACAAGCTTATGGTTACAGTTAGTTTTTCTTGACAGTTCTCAATCTTAGTTCCTAACAACTTCAAACTGATTATTCCCAACTATCTGACTCCACCTAACAATTCCTCTCACTCTCTCAAAATACAACTCTACCAACCCACATCTAAACCTCCCTCTTCCTTCTTCAACTCCCAAACCGCAACTTCAACTCCCAAACCTCAGCCCAACTCAACTCCCAAACCTCAACTGACTTTCAAAACCTCCCACTCTAACTTTTATTCCCCCCTTGCATTCTCACTGGCCAATCACATCACACCTATTTTAACCCTTTCCTTATGACCCATCCTAGGAGGCAAACGCCACACCAGGTATGGGGGAAAACTGGACCTCTGGATGTTAAAATTCCCATCCACCCTACAAGCATAGTTAATGGCCACAGCAATGTAGGAGAGCAAAAGTGGTGTGAAGAACAGGGAAGGGGTGGGGGGACTTGGTGTGCATCTCCCACCTAAGACTTTACTGGGGTTCCTGTCCAGACGCAGAATCGCCATCGCCAAGGGAAGAGTTAAGGTGACATAGTACTTTGAGTCTTGAAACGGCGGGAACTCTGGGAGAATCAGGTAGATTCTCATGGCTTCAACGTCCGGTGGGGAACTGGGCAGCCCTGGGATCAAAAAGCTTTCGAAGCTCTTCAGGATCTGCAAAAAGGGAGGAAAGAAATGACGCTCAAAACATAGCTCTACTGGTTTGTTCCAGCTCAACTCTGGCACTGTGGAGCCAACCCAAGTATATGAACCAGTCACAAAAGGAGCAATTTTGACAGGCCTCCAGAAATGGAGACTCAACCAGTGTATTTGGAATTCTACAAAGTCATGGTGAAACTTAGTGATCTCCAAAGTAGGTGTTGGAGCTTGGTTTTGGGAAGAGAGGGGGAAAGTGACAGGGAGGGCTGTGGTGTCATGGCAAACAACTACAGTGGTACCTCGGGTTAAGTACTTAATTCGTTCCGGAGATCTGTTCTTAACCTGAAATTGTTCTTAACCTGAAGCACCACTTTAGCTAATGGGACCTCCCGCTGCTGCCGGAGCACGATTTCTGTTCTCATCCTGAAGCAAAGTTCTTAACCCGAGGTACTATTTCTGGGTTAGCGGAGTCTGTAACCTGAAGCGTATGTAACCTGAAGCGTATGTAACCTGAGGTACCACTGTACAACAGATTTGGGAACGTTTAGATCTGGCTTGCGATTGCACACCGTACAGTGGTACCTCGGGTTACATATGCTTCAGGTTACAGACTCCGCTAACCCAAAAAAACCCCAGAAATAGACCTCGGGTTAAGAACTTTGCTTCAGGATGAGAACAGAAATCGTGCTCTGGCGGCGCGGTGGCAGCTGGAGGCCTCATTAGCTAAAGTGGTGCTTCAGGTTAAGAACAGCTTCAGGTTAAAAACGGACCTCTGGAACGAATTAAGTACTTAACCCAAGGTACCACTGTATTCCAAACTGGGAAAGTTTGGCTTCATCAGGAGAACCAGCATCCAGGTTTCAAACAGGCACTTGAGGCCAAATATTTTGTATTTTGCACATGAAGGGGGTAAGACCTGCGAGATGTTTGCCAAGGCATGTCCTTAGGACGGTACTGAGTCATACTAATGAACAGGTTGTGGCTTTGCTCTCTTACGAATTTTCTCATGATCTCCTCCCAAAAGCTCTGTACAAAGCAGAAAGCTTAAAAATTTAACGCCTTTGAAGTCTGCACCTGGTCAAGCAAGATGGAATGTTGGGACGTCATCAGCTTGTCAAACATCAGTCTGGTGGAATTCAAGTCGACCCCTGGAATTTTGGGACTCGTTTTAAAATGTTCGTCTATTCTACAAAACGAAAATGAAAATTGAGAGACAGAGGGAGAAATAGTCCTGGTGTGCAATGTATTTACAAACAGTAATTATTAACGTTTGAGCTACTTAACCTAAACGCAGCTCCAGACTCTGTAATTAATAGTTGCTCATAGAAACTTCCTATTATGTTGAAGATGAATCCTTATCAGGAGTATCAGCAAGACCAACGAGCAACTTACAACCACGCAAGCAGCCTGCACTTCTCTCAGTAGAATTCTGTCACTCAGCAGAATTTTAGCACTCTTTCCATGGAATCTGACTGCCCCTTATCAACTGTGGGAGCTGTATAAAACCACAGCTTGTTTAGCAACCATGTGCAGATTCTAGGTTCAGCGGCAATTTGCCAACTGAATGCCAGTTGTAAAGGAATACCAACTGCAAAGAAGGGGATTGCTTTCATGCCCAGTTTATTGGCTTTCTGGAAGTACCTGATGGTGGGGGAAAGGATGATTGATTAGGTGAGTATTTGCTAGATCCAGCTGGATGTTCTCTAGCTGATGTGAAGCGAGGAAAGACGACACCCAGTAATCTAATAAACAGGCAAAAGACCTGCAATCTTTCTAGTAAAACAAAAAATCCTGCAGCTTAACACACTCTTGAGACGTTACATCACAAGCAACGTCTGTAGCATTTTACAGGTGGAAGAGCCATTCCGTGAGCACATCAGTGCTCCAAACGCCAACCACAAATTCCTTCCCCGGCACAAACATGCTGCTAAGTTAGCTACCGAGGCTGCAAGAGCAGGTGCCCTCTTGGGGAAGAGCCTCCATTTAAATCACGTATCGTATTTGCCAGTTGACTGCTAAAAGCGCATAGGATGCAAAGAGAGCTAAACGTAGCCCAATAGCTTAGCTACCATTGCCATAACAACACAGACAATGGACCCGAGAAGGTTCCTTCCAAGGCGCCTGGAGGATCATGTTATCCTAACGGTACAGAGCCAGCACACAGAATTGGTTCTGACAGGCTGTAAGTTCAGCCAGGGAGCTTTTTCTATGCCTGCATCAGCCGTCAAAAATCTTACATAAAGCTGCTGGGTCAGGCAGTGTCCCTCCTCCCCTCCACATGTTTGGCCCTGGGCTGTGAGGCCTCTTATGTAACCGTCACTAGGATTCGCAAAACGGCTAGTCTTGGGGGGTCCGAGTCTTTTTCCCTCTTTTATGCCTCCACCCTCCTTGGTCAGGAAGCCACCAACTACTTCTTATTGCTTAAAAAATAATAATTCTCACCTTCCCCATCCCCTCCTGGCAAAAACATGGCTCTTCCCATCTCCATATTATTTTCACAACAACCCTGTGAGATAAGAACTTCCTGACAGTAAGAGCTGTTCGACAGTGGAATTTGCTGCCAAGGAGTGTGGTGGAGTCTCCTTCTTTGGAGGTCTTTAAGCAGAGGCTTGACAACCATATGTCAGGAGTGCTCTGATGGTGTTTCCTGCTTGGCAGGGGGTTGGACTCGATGGCCCTTGTGGTCTATTCCAACTCTATGATTCTATGATTCTATGATTCTAGGTTAACGGCTAAGAGATGATGGTTGGGCCCAAGGTCACACAGTGAGCTCCCTGGATTTGAACCCGGGGCTCCAAGGTCCTAGTCCCAGACCACCAGACCACACTGGCCCTCACAGACTGAAACCTCATTGGCCACCCGCTTTACATCTGCTTGATCAAGAGTCACCACTGCAGGGACTAAGCCTGTGTTTCCTCCTGCCCTATGTAAGTTTAAGGCACTTACTTCTTTTCTAAGAAGCTCCCGTTCCAGCAGGCAGCCGAGGACAGGATCTGCACAACCTCACTGCTTAGAGTGGAGGGACAAGAAGAGAGAGGGACATGGGTTATATGGCCATGCTGTTGTTTTTCACATAGTATATTTACTTTTTGAGTTCCATTGCCCTTGCTCTGAGGTGAAATCATCATGGAACCAGCAAGGGTAGCCTATGTGACATCTGTGGAGATGCCCAGCTGTCAGTCTCGTGATGTCACTATGACATCAGGTGGCCCGTTCTCCCTTTGGAGTTGTGCGAGAAAGGGAATTCCAAACCCAGCCTCAATACTGTCAGCCTTGTGGAGGCTGACTGAGGCAGCTTCAGCATGGGACAATTGTGTCACGCCTCAAGAGTACTGAATCGAACAATTCAAAGCATGGATTCCACCTGCCCAGCCCTGGAAGGGTATCTTCAGGGCCACTGCCAAATGTTCCTGGGGACCTCTGAAAACAGGATGAAAATTATCCGTGTGATGCAGAGGAGTCTATAACATAAATCTAGGCAGCAGCAGCTCCCCTACCCACTGAACTTTTCCCACCAAGTTTGGGAAACTTGTAGACTAGCCCTCACTTGAAGATCGTGAAGTATTTCTAAAAGTTAAGTCGCTTCCTCTGGTGCCCCCAAAAAACAAGTGCCTAGAATTTCCTTGCTTTCAGAAACCCATCAGCAAATTATTTGATTCCATTTATGAATCACTTCCCATAAAATATCGCAAAGGGATTTCAGAGTAGGGAAAAAAACTGGCAATAAAAAGAATAAAAACAATGGCAATGGTTGCCTAAACGACTGTCTACATCTCCTTAGATAGCCTCTGGCTTTTGCACGTGTGGTCTACCACCCACATCTATTTTAGAATTGCCAAAAAGTACTGGTGCCTGGCAGAAGACGACTTAACAAGTAGCTGGGAAATTTGGAAAGTGATACTTGGAAACAAACTCTGACTCAACACTAGAACGCACCTACAGCAGAGAGCTGCAGTCTCCCTCGACAGCTTGATGTAAGCCAAGGATGTTGGCCATGCAGATGTTGCCGAACTACAATACCCATCATCCCTGGCCATTGGCCGTGCTTGCTGGGGCTGATGGGAGTTGCAGTTCTGCAGCATCTGATGTAAGCCATCACACCACTCAGTGGAAGCAACAATCTGAGCAGGCCCCCTGTCTACCCTGAGCTGCAAGGCCGCTGCTCCAGCAGCCAACAGAGAACAGCACATTCACTGGTGCATGATCCAAGAAAAGGATTCTGATTTTCAGTTCCACTCTGGAAGGCAGAAATTATGGCACACACATCTCAGGGGTGGAGACGACAATGGAATGAGGTCTACAGGAGTCAATAGGCCACGGGTGAGCTTACAGGGTCATTTCAGAACAGGAGGAGCAGCTCAAACACATCCCATACCAACCCATCCAAGGGCAACCATACTGTTTCCAGAGGTTACGTCCCAACCCTTGAACACCTATGAAGATTTCACACGAAGCCACAAGGAAGAAATACTGAACAGTGCGTCAGAAAAGCAAAAAAGGAACATACTTCACTGAATTAGGATTGTTCTTTTCCGAAAGCTTTTGTCTCCACATGTCTATTGTATCGTCATTAATCAAACAGGTGTAGTCACTTTGATTTATGGCCCGGAAATCATCCGCTGGCTGAGAATTCTGGAAAAGGAGGTAGGTCTCAACGCGGATTTCGCCAAGTGGGATTGGAAGGGCTTCACTGCAGCTTTTGTTAACATGCGAGGGTAGCTTCCCTCTAGGGAGGCCCTTTTGGCTGGGGTTTCCTACCATGAACCACCTCCACCCCAGAATAGGCCACGCCTACCACTAGATAACTTACACATAGATATGTATCAGTTCCAAGAACCATCCTCCCCAGGGACTGTTTGGATGTCCTCTCCAACCTCATTATGGACAGCATCTCATTCTCCTGCCCTGCCCATTTCTGGTCCTGTCACTGAATGCTGGAGTGTTCGTCCAAGCCAAGTGATGTTACAGTTGTGTCGAATATGGGGCCTGCCTTTCCTTCACATATAAAGTTTGCCCTCTCATCAGAAGTGCATGAGTTTGAGGCCCAATCAGGGAAGAAAGGAGAAGCAGCCAAATAACATCCCTACCAGCCATGGGTAGGAACCCACGCCTGCCCCTATTTACCTCTGTTTCAGAGCAAAGCACGAACGTTTGGTCTCCTCCAGAGAAGATATGTTTAACAATGTAATATTTACACGCATCTGTTGGGAGAAGAACGAAGCAAATTAGCTACGGCTCAGTAGTCACAAACACCCTACGTACTTCTTTCCTTTGCAAACCAGGATTATGAAAGCTATTCAGGGGCCAGAAAACGTATTCAGCAGGGGGCCAGTCCACTGTCCCTCAGACCTTGTGGGGTTCTGGACTATATTTTGAAGGGGGGGGGGGGAAATTGAACGAATTCCTATGCCCCACAAATAACCCAGAGATGCATTTTAAATAAAAGCACACATTCTACTCATGTAAAAACACACTGATTCCCAGACAGTCAGCGATCCAGATTTAGAAGGCGATTGGGCCGCATCCGGCCCCTGGGCCTTAGTTTGTCTACCCATGCTATAGATCATAATGCCTCTTTGGAGTGGCTGTCTGCCTGGCACAACTCAAAAGCCAAGAGACCAAAGGCATTCGCTATTTTTAAAGACAATGTTCTTAATTTGCATTATTTAGAACTTATGCCACCGCTTTCTCTTTGCTGCATTAACTGTTGTCTCAGAAACTGTGAAATGGTGGACTGTCTCCTCTAAGCAGCATGCTCTTCTGAAGCTTAGCCGAAGACTCAATTTTATTTGGCATACTGTGACACAGTGCAGAGCAGGAGCGCAGGAAGCTGGCTTGCACCAAGGAAGGCCCATGATCTGTATGGTTCAGTACTGTCTACATTGCTCGCCAGCAGCTCTCTAGGGTTTCAGGCCAGTCTCATTCCCATTCCTAACTGGAGACACAGGGGATCAAACTTGGGCTTTTCTGCATGTAAAGAGTCTAACAACTCTCAGGACCCTTAACAAACTACAGTTCCCAGGATTCCTTGGGGGAAGTCATGGCTGTCTAAAGTGGTGTAACACTATGGCAGATCAAGTTGATGAACTATGCCGAAATGGCAAAATTAACTGGGAAGCTCAGGGACCAAGAAGACAAGAAATCTTAAAAAAGAATGGGAAATGTTTATAACATATGTACAAAATCATTGCAAACAGGTCAAAACATTAGCAGGATTTTAAATACATTTGTAATGTAATAGAAACTACAGGTAATTTAGGAAGATGAAAAACTTGAAGAAATATTGATATGCAGATGAAAACAGAATTAAGAGGACCCACGGATAGGATAGGGAGAGGGGAGAGTCAGGAGATTCAGAGTAATCTCAGTACATGAATGTGTATGACATTTTGATGTAACTTTATTCTTTTTCTTTCTTTTCTTCTCTTTTTTTTGAAAATCAAATTAAAAAATTGATTTTAAAAAGTGGTTTAACACTGCCTTAAATGTTTAGTGCAGATGGAGGCCTTAAGTTCTCATCCATAATGGACTCTTTTTTGTCAGCACAGAGAGAGAAAAAAAGTGACAGCACACTATCTGTCACTCTTCAACATTCCCAACAGATGGTAAAGCTGGGGCATTATCAATTTGCTGCTTCAGAAACAAATGTGTGATTTATTTATTTATTTATGGCAACTATAACCCACCCTTTAGCAAAAAAACCAAACAAAAAACCCTTTCCATAGCAGCTTACAAAAATCAGCACTAAGACAGCCCCCCTGCTCTCAGGCTCACAATCTAGAAGGACATGACACACGTCAGTAATAAGCAATGTGATGGCTTGATCGATATCTAAGGTAGAGCGGCATATTCAGGCTTACTTGCACTCTGACTGGTCTCAACTGGTCTCACCTACACCTACTGGTTTCGCCTACACCCACTGAGCACGTGTCAGAATCTCAGCTTTGCTTCTGTTCAAGTCACAACTTACCTGATCTACCAGAGATTTGTTCATTGTGAGCTGCCCAGGGGCCTTTGACTGGGGAAGGACATTTAAGACTGCAGGTGTGCCCAGTTCCCAGCTGGCCTCTGGTTCCGCAGCCGAATGCATAGATAATTCCTGAAGAAGGCACGAAGGCGAGAGTGTGCTGCCTGCAAACAACAGAACAAAAATATTGCAACGTTCGTAAGAGTCTGCACAGATATATATTTCTGCTTACAGTTGCTTTTTTAAAAGCAGGAATAAAATCAGTAAAAAAAAATGGAGTAGAGAAAGTGTTTTGTTCTTTCATTATTAACTGTCAAGAGGGATTGGAAAACATTCATCTTTATGCATAGATTTGGTGGCTGGAAAAAACGGTTCCTGCCAGCCCCGGGATCAAAGGGTGGAAAGCTTTTAACTCTTGTTTTTGGAATGTTTTAAATCATAGAACTGTTGGAAGGGACCCCAAGGTTCATCTAGTCCAACCCCCTGCAATGAAGAGAAGAAGAGGAGTTTGGATTTGATATCCCGCTTTATCACTACCGGAAGGAGTCTCAAAGCGGCTAACATTCTCCTTTCCCTTCCTCCCCCACAACAAACACTCTGTGAGGTGAGTGGGGCTGAGAGACTTCAAAGAAGTGTGACTGGCCCAAGGTCACCCAGCAGCTGCATGTGGAGGAGCGGAGACGCGAACCCGGTTCCCCAGATTACGAGACTACCGCTCTTAACCACTACACCACACTGCAGGAATAAAACCAATGTTTTGGAACAAAATGCTTTGTTTAAAGCTGTGGATCAGTTTGCCACCTTGGCTTCCTCTGGGAGGAAGGGTGGGATATAAACTGAATAAACAATAAATACTATCTTCCCCCAACCATATTACAATTTAAACACTTATTCAGTATACTACTTTTCCCACCCTCCACCCTCGTATGTATCTGGCCGTAACGGATATAAAGAATGCACTGAGCTGTCTTCAAAATTCCAAATACGAACCTGCAGCTTTCAGGGATGCCATTGCGCACCCTAACCTCTCGCTGCAACAGCTCTTAAGAATAAAACAGCAATGGCCACTTAATTTAAGAACAGATTTATATACAGTGGTACCTCTGGTTACGAACTTAATTTGTTCCGGAGGTCCGTTCTTAACCTGAAACCATTCTTAACCTGAGGTACCACTTTAGCTAATGGGGCCTCCCACTGCCGCCGGCGCGCGATTTCTGTTCTCATCCTGGGGCAAAGTTCTTAACCCAAGGTACTACTTCCAGGTTAGCGGAGTCTGTAACCCAAAGTGTTTGTAACCCGAGGTACCACTGTACAGAGAACTTGTAAGATATATAGAATCATAGAATCATAGAGTTGGAATAGACCACAAGGGCCATCGAGTCCAACGCCCTGCCAAGCAGGAAACACCATCAGAGCACTCCTGACATATGGTTGTCAAGCCTCTGCTTAAAGACCTCCAAAAAAGGAGACTCCACCACACTCCTTGGCAGCAAATTCCACTGTCGAAAAGCTCTTACTGTCAGGAAGTACTTCCCAATGTTTAGGTGGAATCTTCTTTCTTGTAGTTTGGATCCATTACTCCGTGTCCGCTTCTCTGGAGCAGCAGAAAACAACCTTTCTCCCTCCTCTATATGACATCCTTTTATATATTTGAACATGGCTATCATATCACCCCTTAACCTCCTCTTCTCCAGGCTAAACATGCCCAGCTCCCTTAGCCGTTCCTCATAAGGCATCGTTTCCAGGCCTTTGACCATTTTGGTTGCCCTCCTCTGGGCATGAAAGAACGTGCAGCGCCATTATCCTACTCTGAGCCCGGCAGATTCCAGCTGCTGCGGCTTCTACTGTGCTAGGGGGCAAGCAAGGCTGACCATTCCCCTGTCCCCGCGCCACACACTTGCGAAGGAAGAACCAAAGCGCTCACTCACCTGCCACAAGCGATTTGGGACACCTCACTGCCCATCAGCTCCAGGACCCTTCTGGGGTTGACTTCATCGTTCAAGGAATCGTGGCCAAGCTGCCCACAGGAGCCCGAGCCGAAAGTAAACACCCCTCCACTCTGGCAAAGAAAGGGCAGATAGCAATAGTTCCACTTAGAGAACTCACAACAGCACCGGCTGCTTGCCCAGCTGAACAGGAAAGCTGCTTTAGTGGTGCTCAAGTCCTGCAGCCAACCTCAGGCGGCCATAGGAATTTCAAAGATCATCTCCAGTAGCAAACGACGTTATTTCCCGGCACCCAAAGACATTTCCGAGCACAATTCAAAATGTTGGTGCTGACCTTCAACGCCCTAAAGGGCCTCGGCCCTGTATACCCAAAGGAGCATCTCCACCCGCATGGTTCAGCCTGGACACTGAGGTCCAGCCGGGGCGTTCCAAGGGGGTGCCATTACAAAGGCGGGGGGACAAAATGCCGACCCCTGTTCGGTGGCCAGCCCCCAGTGGTGCACCAAGCCCTCTGGGTACAGGAGCAGGTTGCTTCGCCTCTGGGTCCAGCTCCGAGGGTCTTTTGGTGGTTCCCTCAGGTGAAGCTACAGGGAACCAGGGAAAGGGCCTTCTCAGTAGTTGTGCCCATCCTGTGGAACGCCCTCCCATCAGATGTCAAGGAAATAAACAACTATCTATGTGGGAAAGTTTTTAATGTTTGATGTTTCATTATGCTTTTATATTTTTTGGAAGTGGCCCAGAGTGGCTGAGGCAACCAGTCAAAAGGGTGAGGTACTAATAATATTACAGTGCTACCTTGGTTCTCAAACTTAATCCGTTCCGGAAGTCCGTTCCAAAACCAAAGCGTTTCAAAACTAAGGCGGGCTTTCCCATTGAAAGTAATGCAAAATGGATTAATCCGTTCCAGACTTTTTAAAACAACCCCTAAAACAGCCATTTAACATGAACGAGACCATTGATCCATAAAACAAAAGCAATAAACAACATACTGCAGTCACACAATCAATCAATCAGTTGCTGAACTGGATTCCACACAGTCACAAAAATGAAACAAAAAAGCCACAAAAACCAAAACACAAAAATAGCAAAAGCAGACCAGAGTAACACTCAAAACAGAAGTGCGGCACTCAAAACGGATCACGTTTGGCTTTCAAAAAAAGTTCACAAACTGGAACACTTACTTCCAGATTTGCGGTATTTGGGTTCCAAGTTGTTTGAGTACCAAGGCGTTTGAGAACCAAGGTACCACAGTAATAATAATGAATAGTAGTAGTAGAAGAAGAAAAAGAAGTATTATTAAGTAATATACATAAATCTAAGAAGAAGGGGAGACCTATTCTACCTCTGGGGTGTGCTTGTTTTGTCTTTATCCTCAGGCAGCTGTTGATTTAGTTTTGGTTTTTTTAATGGACAGAAGCATTACAGTAAGATGCCCACACCCAAACCAATGTCTCTGTGGAGGTCATAAAAACTAAGTCAGACAGAAGTGACAAAGGAGGACGTTTTAGATCTAGCAGACAAATTAAAAACAAGTCAAAGCAGGCAGATGGTATGCACCCAAGGGACGGTACATACAGTTTCTCAGTGGTGAGGGAGAAGCATTCTGGAATATTTCTCTTCATTATAGAAGAATACTGCTTTCATTAAAGCAGCCTAGTCATAGATGGGAGGTGCTATAAGGAAGTGTGGAAACTCAAAACCTGCAAGTAATCCTCCTGTCTCCTCCACCTGTACCCCTGATGATGCTTAATAAGGGTTTTCCCTTTACCTTTGTCAGGACTGCTGTGTGGTCATTCCCACAGCTGATATAGACAACCTTTTGAGTCCTCAAGAGCTTCACGTGGCAGGGAGACTCCCGGTCTGCAGTTGGAGAAAACAAAGAACGAGGTTGTGAAATATTGCAATACTCACAGGGCAGCTCTGGGCAAGTCTTGGTCTCTTAAACTCAGTTTCTCAGCCTATAAGATTATTATATAGATAATATATATATATATAATAATAATAATTAAAGTAAGCTGCTAAAGAAGTGGACTAACAAAATAACCAGTTGCCATCAACTCAGTTACATATACTATTCCCAAAGCCAAGCAGAGAGGTCACACAAGATACAGCCAAACTCTGTTCACATTTTAGAAGACATCTGAAGGCAGCCCAGCATAGGAATTGCTTTTTTAATGTTTGATGTTTTACTGTGCTTAATGTGTTTCATTTGTTGGAGGCCAACACAGATGGGCAGCATATTAATTAATTTATTAACTAACTAACTAACTGTTGTTGTTTTTGCTGCTGCTGTTGTAGTATTAGTAGTAGAAGTACAGTGCTACCTCGGGTTAAGTACTTAATTCATTTCGGAGGTCCGTACTTAACCTGAAACTGTTCTTAACCTGAAGCACCACTTTAGCTAATGGGGCCTGCTGCTGCACCACTGGAGCACGATTTCTGTTCTCATCCTGAAGCAAAGTTCTTAACCTGAAGCACTATTTCTGGGTTAGCAGAGTCTGTAACCTGAAGAGTATGTAACCTGAGGTACCACTGTAGTATGCATCACAGCGTGATTTAATTCTGCAACCAAGCTGGGCTAGAATCAAATTAGCTGCCCCGTGGGACCAAGGAACGAAAAGTAGTCTACAAGTCTTAAAACTAATAAGCACATGTCTCCTTTCACGTTGGGTGAACAGCACAAGAATAATTCCAAAAACAAAAATTGTCAATGTCTACGGACGACTGCTTGAATTACCTCTCTCGTCACTCAGGCCCAGTTGTCCTGAGGCGTTCTTCCCCCAACCAAACACAGCTCCGGAGAGAGACAAGGCAAAGCTATGCGCCCCTCCTGCATCCACCTGGGCCAAAGGGATCCCTTCAAGCGATCTGACGCGCTGAGGACTGGTTTGGGAGGGGAACTCTTTGCCCAGCCCAAGTTGCCCATGGTTGTTCTGTCCCCAGGAGAAGAACTGTCCATCTGGAAAAAAGAAACCAAGACACAGGTTGACAGCGCCCAGAAAAATAAACCCCCTGTTATATTACAGCAGCGTATTGACAGAATGAGTGTATGATGTGTTAAGAGAGGGGTAGTACCTCTGGTGAGGGACACGTCGTGCTCCATCCACCTTTGGTCCCCACCCTGCACTCAAGCTCACCTGTAGCTCCTAGGAGCTGTCAGCATGCCACACCCCAGGAACGGCTTCAACTGGCCGGCTAAACCAGGTGAGGGTAGCCAATGGGTCTCAAACCCTCAGTGAGGGAGGGACTTTCCTTTCATGCAAAGACAAGATCCGGTGGACTGAACAGATGAGACCAATAGCGGGTCCAATGGTCAAGAAGGTAGTTTCTGCCCATGTTGTAGAGGGAGGTGAGGAGCAGATGGGGCTCGCCACCCTGGGAAGGGAGCCCATTTAGGAGAAGGGAAACTCTGATTCTAAGCCTTCACTGCCTTGCCTTCTTTGGGAGAAGAAACGGCTAAGGGGTAAACCCAGCTGTTGTTGGACTACAACTCCCACCATCCCTAGCTAGAGGGACTAGCGGTCAGGGATGATGGGAATTGTAGTCCAAAAAAACCCAGCTGGAGACCCAAGTTTGGAAGCTCCTGCAGCCAATCGGAAGCCTCAGAAGCCCCATCAGACATTTGGGTTGCAAAGAACGTTCACAAACTGGAACGCTCACTTCTGGGTTTCAATCGTTTAGGAGCCAAAATGTCCAAGTACCAAAATGTTCGGAATCCAAGGTACAACTGTACTTCATTTGGGAGGAAAGGCAGAATCTAAAACATAATTGTTACTACTAATAGTAATGTTGCAGAACTAGTAAGAAAGCTTAGCTATTAGAGGTGGCAAAAGGGTGGAAGGAAGAAGCAGCCCCGGCAATAATGGACTGGCATAATAAACTACAAGAATTTGCTGAAATGGCGCAGTTGACAAATAGCCTGAGAGGCAATTCAAAACAAAAATTTATGGAAAAATCGGATAGATATAAGATATATGTTCAAAAATATAGTAAAGGTTTGCTATCTATGCTAGCATTCGATTGACATTGGAGAGAAATTGAGTTGAGAAACAAGATTAAGGGTACATATTGATATAGGAATGTACTAGATAAAATATAAAGAAATAAACAATAATAAGAGTACATTCATTTGTAAAAAAAGAATATACAATGAGATTGACAGGAAGTCCATAGTGTTGGTACAAATGTTATTTTGAAATGGCTTTATGTCTTGTTTTTTATTTTATTTTTTCTTTCTTTAGGTACATAAATTTGGTATATGAACTTTATATACATGTTGGAAATTATATTATAATATGCCCTGTAATGTAATATGATAATGTATACATATGTGACTTAAGAACGTTAATAAAATAAAATTTAAAAAAAGAGAAAGCTTAGCTATTATAAGTTAATATTACCATACCAGCTGCAAGAGCAAGACAATGCCAATTGCCACAGGAGACCTGAAGTATCATCTCTTGGTTCAGTTTTTTTATCAACCTAAAACAGCAAAACAATTCATTTATTTTATTTTTTAAAACAACAACAACACAACAAGAGAAGCACACACTAAAATAATACCTCTCGTCTTAACAACTGTGTCGTTATGAAGGGAACTTATGTTAAACAGTTAAACTGTTAAACAGTTTAAACATCTGGAAGCTTAAGCAAAAATGGCTTTGCTTTTTAAAACACTGCAGTTCAGTGCAGACAACAAGAGGAGCTTTAGATAAAAATAGCCTTTTTATAGTATCCTCTCATTTGGTGTTCTAACTATGCCTGGCTCTTGCATCACCTTAGGGATGAGATTCTTAAATTAAGGTCTCTGGTGCACTTTTAGATTGTACCAGAGCGCACAGTGCAAATTAACACATAAAACTACTGGAGAGTGAAGATTTCTACTGCAGGCTGAACAGAAGCTTACAGAAATTCAACAGGTGGAGCCCATAGGCGCCGACTCCATGGGGCTTGAGGGGGCTGGAGCCCCCTCAAAAAATTTTTTGGGGGGGCTCAGCCCCCCCAATAATCTCGGGCGGGCGCCCTTCCAGCAGAGCGCCGCCGCCGTCCCCCGCCTCCTCCCCACCTGCTCCTTCGCCAGCCAGCCAGCCGCGCGCCCTAATCGGAGAGCCCCGGCCGGAAATCCCGCGAGAACAGGGGAATCCCGACTGGCCACACCTCCCAGCCAGCCAATCGGCTGGCTGGGGGGGCGTGGCTTGCCCTATTTAGGGCCGGAGCCACTTTATTTGCATATTCATGAGCTTATTTATTATTCATGAGCTTTCCCGGGCCCCCCCAATATTTTTTCTAAGTCCGCGTCCCTGGTGGAGCCTTTTCAAGTACAAAAAGAAAATTATGGGAAAAGATGCACCATGCATGTGCTGTCTAATTCGCTGCGTAATGTCACACCTCCATGGCGGCCATTTTGTGTCCAGTGCCCACAGCGTTCTCTCAAAATTCAGTGTGCCCATTGGTCCAAAATGTTGGTCCAGGGTCAAGGCAACAGTAGAGAAGGCAAATACGAGAGACTAAGAGGGGAGGTGCGTCCACAAACTCAAGCACACATTAAAATAAAGTGAGAAGGGGTTGCAGGATTGCACAGCTACTCTCCCACCACACATGCGCCAATGTACAGGCACACAGTTCTTCCACATGACAGGAGGTGAAATGTGCCATCGCCTTCCCCTTCACATGTGCATTGGTGTGCTAATATGCACATTTAGGGTCCCTTGTAGTACTATAAAGTTCAGCAGGGTATGGGTGAGTGCCCAGTCAGTGCGTAGAATTTCATTCCACACAAACACCCTAAAAAGCAACAAGGGATTATTTAGTCTGAACACCGCTGGTATCAAGCTACATAGCAAAGCACGGCGTTTGGTAACCGCTCCAATTACCTTGGTACAGCCACAGAGTCTTCTGCCGTTGTGAGGCCCAGCTGTCCATCGCTACCTGCCCCCCAGGAAAAGAGTTGGCCTTGGTCACTGAGGGCCACGCTGTGAGATTCCCCACAGGCAACATGGACTATGCGCTGATCAGCTAAAGCGTCAATTTGCTCTGAGGGGAAAAGAGAAGAATAACGCTGATGGAACATGCTAAGCGACAAAACACATGTGATTATCGTTCAAAGCAAAGTTTGGGTGTATGTGTGCAGAAAGAGATATACACACCTTAAAAAAATATCTCATCTAATATAAATTTTGGAAAGTTGTTCATTTGCCAGCTACGCATTTGGACAGGGTCTTAATATATTACAACCAAATTCTGTGTGATGGTTTAGGATCAGATTTTCTGTGTGGATTTGGATACCACCGGACGCCATTTTGAATCAAGATGGCAGACTGAGCCTTTTCACAAAGGCACAAACTTTATTCACTGAACTCAAAACTGCACTGATTTTTGGTTTTTAAGACTTCACAAGCAATGTCTGGTACGAGGTGTATGAAAATAAAGTCATTTCGCTTTCACCCATTTTGAAATGATACAGAGGCTGATGAGAAACATGTTAGTTAGATGCAGCAGACATGTGCAGTGTTTATGTGTGCGCACTGTGTGCAGCCACACAGCCCGTCAACTCAAGAGCAAGAATTTTTCCTCAGGAGTCCCATCCCTCGCCACAAACTGCTTGGATTTCAGGAAGGAGACTCTCCCATCCCTACCGGGAGCTGCCAAGGATTGAACCTGTGACCTTCTGCATGCAAGACAGGTGCTCTTCAACTAAGCTATGGCCCTTTCCCCTAGCAAATAAGCAAGCAGTAGGAGCTGACTGTCAAGAAACTTCTCTTAACTACTGTTAAGAAATAGCCACCCATAACTTCAGTCCAGTAGATATAGAACAGTCTCCTGGGACAACAGAGAACAAAACAAGCCTCTGACCACTTTCATCTGCAAAGTAACTCCAATCTAACGTGGGCAGTGATTGTTTAACCAATGCCGTCTATAATGGGGGGTGAAATCCCCCAAAAGGATGTTACTTTTTTTCTGTATGCCACAACAGCTGCGAGAATATTACTAGTGAAGAATTGGAAGAAACAAGATTTACCAACTACAGTGGTGCCTCGCAAGACGAAAATAATTCGTTCTGCGAGTTTTTTCGTCTTGCGAATTTTTCGTCTTGCGAAGCACGGTTTCCCATAGGATTAACGGTTTTAAGAAAAAGGAAACAAACTTGCAAGACGTTTTCGTCTTGCGAAGCAAGCCCATAGGGAAATTCGTCTTGCGAAGCAACTCAAAAAACCAAAAACCCTTTCATCTTGCGAGGCATTTGTCTTGCGAGGTACCACTGTATCGAAGAATGGCAGATGAAGATGATGGATTGTATGGAGCTTGCCGAACTGACTGGGAGACTCCGAGACCAGAGAGAAGAGACGGTGGAAGAAGACTGGAAGAAGTTTAAAGAATACTTGAAAAAATATGTTAATATTTCAATCTTAGAATAGCTCTGGAAGTGGATATAGGCTGTAGGGTTAGAAGTAGAAGATAGTGTATTTTAAAACAGTTTTATTTGTAAATGATAAAATGTGAAGATTATTATGGTAAAAGCAAGCGTGATAAAAAAAATGGCTAGAAATTATGATATATGTAAACTGCTAAAGATGAGGTAAAATGAAAATCGGATGGGGGGACTTGGGGAAGCTTGCCTAACAATGTTTAGAAAAAATAAGGATAAGACAAGAATTTGTTTGTTTTTCTGTTTGTGTTGTTTAGTTGTGCTATAAAATGAATAAAAAAATGGGGGGGGAATGCCATCTATAATGACTGGTGGAAGCTAAGGTCTCGGGGCTAAAGGATTTCCCCGTCTCTTGCTTGTAAAGATGTTTTAAATGGAGAAAAGTGTATTCTGCATGAAAGGGACACATACTACTATTTAGCTATCCTGAGCAGCAGAGGAGGTGCTCAGTTTGCTGGAGCACACCAGGCAGAACAGAAAGGCTTTTGTACAGATGGTGCCCCGCTAAGAGGCTGGCAGCACTGTTAAGAGCTTGCTAAAACTGAAAATAGCTGTCCAGGAGAACAGTCTCCCTTCCCCACTTTCAGCTGCTATGCGCATCGCAGTGATTCACAAGCAGATGGAACAGTTCCTTCCCAGATGGAATGTGCTTTTTGGTCTATCAACTTGTCCCTTTAATGCCATTTGGGATCTGGAGAAAAGGAGGCACAATTAATTGCTGCAGGGTCCCTGAAACCGCCAAACAAAAATCCCAGGGTGGAAAAGATTTCAGTCCTGCAAGAAGAGCAGAGGGGTGCAAAACGAGGACATGTCTCCGATTCATAAATCATTTACTTTATTTTCTTCCTAGCTGCTGCACTACAACACTCGTTACTTAATCTTAATTACAGCTGCTAGGATAAATCTTTGGATGTGGCCATTTCAATGGGCAGGAATATCTACAGCAGCATTCACAGGCCCTCCAGAGCAAAAACTTCCATCTTGCAGCCCTCCAAGAGACACGAGGGCATAGAAACCGGAGGCATCCTCAGCCATGAGCTTCTTCTTGCTGACAAATGATTGGCATCAGATAGCCTGTTACAGTTGGGGGGTTTTTTGATGGTCAGATCCTATCATATAAGAAGAGTCCCGCTGCATCAGACCAAGGGACTGTCTAGCCCAACATTCTGTTCCCTCAGTGACCAACCAAACAGTGTTAGTAATCCCCCAGGGACTTTTTGCAAATGGCGCAGGTCCACCTGCGACCATGCAGAGATCTCTGGATGACAGGTTGGCAACTGGCAACTCCATCTGGCTGGCCCCTCCAGCTTTCTTAAGCAGCTAAGCAGAAGAGCTTAATTACTGCATTTATATCCCACCAAAGAGTATATGGTTCACACCTTCCTCAATTAATCCCTACAGTGACCCTGTGAGGTAGATTAAGAGGCTGTGACTGGCCCAAGGTCATATCTGAGTGGGGATTTGAACCCTAATCTCCCAGGTCCTAGTCCAACACTCTAACCACTACACCACACTGGCTTCCTAGAAAGTACTTCTGCTACAGGACAGCTATATGAAGTCGGTAAATAAATATGGAGAAAGCAAAATGTCACTTAGAGAAGAATCTGAAATATTTTCCTTGAAGCTTGAATATGTTTTATTCTGGATTGTTTTGTTTGACGTTTTCATGTTTTGTAAACCACTCTCAAGGTATTTTCTTCTATGTGCCAGGCAAAAACATTTCTATTTACCCAGGGCTTTGTTCCTTAATTGGGAGAATAACAAGCAATGCCTGTGACCTCTTTTTGTATTCATGGCTGTAACTGGGGTGCTCCTTTGATGTATATATATTTATAGATAAGTGTTTTAAGTCTTATGTGTTTTTGTACCTGATTTTAAAGTTTCCTGCTATTTTTATCACGCAAGTCACTACGAGACAATTTGGTGCAGAAAGCGAGAAACGAATTGTCACCATCATGATCTCGGAAGCACACAGTTCAAACCTGGGAGCTTGACCAGATTGCCAGCTAGTTAGTGCAAATGCTATGCGTATCAGTACCAAGCCAGAAAACTTTCTGCATCCTGGTTGGGGAAAAAAGCACAGTATGTTACAGCCAGCTGGCAAAGCCTCCCAAAATCCACCCTGCAAACACATTAAGGACAAACAGTTTCAAAAACATGGTGCCTGAGGCAGATTAAATAATCCCTACAAGAAGATGGAACAGAAATGGAATAGCAGGATTTCAAGAGCAAACTTCTCAGGAACGAAAATCTGCAAGAGGAAGTTTGTGAAAAGAGCTTTTTTGGGTTGCAACTCAAAAGCACAAGCTAAATTTAGCCAAGAGTATACTTTCACTGGTAATACCGACCTGAGTTTCTTCTACCTCCCACCCAGTTTATTTTTGCACAACACTTAGGGATCTCAGGCATATTTTCCAAACTGGCAATCCCCTATCCATGGTGGGGGTATCAAGACTGAAAAGTCTCCCCCCAAGACCCAATCCCTGAACCACGACCCTCAAAGGCAGGAATCTGTAAGCTGTGGCCCTCCAGTTAAGGGTGGTCAGAGTGGTTTATCCACCAGTTCCTATTGCCAGGGAACTCTGAAAACTGGACCTCTATGAAGGTAACAGCTCTCAGCTGCCTTAAACTGAAGTTGTCTGGATTCTTTGGAGGAAGCCCGGCTGTTTAAAGTGGTATGATTCCACTTGAAATATATATAGTGCAGACATGGCCACAGACGGGGGGGGGGGGGACTGCTAGCCGCCTATTAAGCATCTGGGCAGCAGTATGGACCAAACTAAACTCATACGCATCTCTTCGTTCAAGAGTAAAGCGACAGGCAGCATCACCTGAACACGACACTCTCCTGACACACTAGCCTACTATCTCCCATCAAAGGTTACTTTGGGATCAGCCAGAATGAAATGTGAGCCAAACAGGAGCCGGTGGCTGAAATGGAAACTCCCAGGGTCAGCCGCAAGAACTAATGGAACACTGTCAGGAAAGCCTCTGGGGCCTGTCTACCTGGCCTTCGGAAACCTCTCCCTTCACAGGCCCTGATCCACGGTGGGAAAGTGCCCTTGAACTATAACAGTGCCTCCTGCTTGTTCGGATGCAGGACAGAGAGGGAGGAGAAACTAGCCTACTACACGAGGGTGACATTTATGATTCTTGCTCTAGCCCACTTTTGCCTGCTCAGCAGGGCTGGGCAATATTTGGTTTTCAACACTGTGATGCATCACCAGCTAAACATTGCGCCATATCAATATATAAAGGTAAAGGGACCCCTGACTATTAGGTCCAGTTGTGGCCGACTCTGGGGTTGCAGCGCTCATCTCACTTTATTGGCTGAGGGAGCCGGTGTACAGCTTCCGGGTCATGTAGCCAACATGACTAAGCCGCTTCTGGCGAACCAGAGCAGCGCACGGAAACACCGTTTACCTTCCCGCTGGAGCGGTACCTATTTATCTACTTGCACTTTGACGTGCTTCCGAACTGCTAGGTTGGCAGGAGCAGGGACCGAGCAATGGGAGCTCACCCTGTCGCAGGGATTCGAACCGCTGACCTTCTGATCGACAAGTTCTAGGCTCTGTGGTTTAACCCACAGCGCCACCCGCATCCTTATATCAATATATGACGATGTCTGAAATAAAGATGGAACTATGTAGAAGCGAACAGCAGGGCTGGGCAATATTTGGTTTTCAGCATCGCGATGTATCACCAGGAAAACATCCGAAATATACTGATACATCCTGGGATAGCTCAGTCAGTAGAGCATGAGACTCACTCTCAGCGTCTGAGCCCTACGTTGGGCAAAAGATTCCTGCATTGCAAGGGGGTTGGACTAGATACCCCTCGTGGTCCCTTCCAACTCTTTCAATTCCATGCTTCTGTGAAGTCTGAAATAAGGATGGAGCTATGCAGAGGCTGACTTCATGGTTTTTCCCATGCTGTGATTTTTGCATAGCGTGCACACACACCATGATTCGCAATATATTGCCAGGTCAAAAATAATGAAAACCGATTATCATGATATGGACTTCAAACTGGTTTTGGATGATATGTCGGTATTATCACCCATCCCTACTGCTCAGCACCAGCATGTGGCCCCCAGGAGGTTACCCAGAATGGAACATGGCCCTGCCCTATACACCTCCAGGCTGGCGTCATTGTCAGACTGTACTCCTATTTCAATATAATTTCTAGGTCACCCTTCAGTATAAACCTCCCACGATGGAGTACAGTTAATAATAAAATGGAAGGAGAAGCATAGACAAGCCAAACCTGAACCCCAGAACCAGCTACCAGCAGAGCTATTTCATTAAATGCGAACAAGCACCTGGCTGCAGGTGCGGTGACACAACCTTACCTGGCTTGCTTCCTTCCCTCTCGTGGCCGAGTTGCCCTTTCCTGTTCAAGCCACATGTATACACTTCGCCATCCTCCAGCAGGAAGATAGAATGGTTCTCGCCACAAGCCACTTCCTTGACGCTCTTCTCGTGAATGAACCCGCTGCTCCGGGGTTCGGTGATTATCGCTTGCAGCACGTTACCTTCCCCAGGGTGTCCCAAAGACCAATATCCCCAACATAACATCTTCTCTTCTTTTAGCAAGTCATGTATCTTGGTTTTTTCCTGAGGGAGGAGAAGAGGGGAAAACAATCCATAAATCAGGAATCATCTACAGACCAGGCAAACAGGACCACAGGAAGTGATGCTGGCAAAAGGAGCCATTTCCTGTCCCATCATGCAAACAAAGGAGCAGTAGTTCTTTTCTGCAGCTTCCATTCCGTGGAATAACTTTCCTGAAAGATGCCCAGCGGCAAACTATTTTTCTAAGAGTTTCAATTTCATTTATTTAAGCAGTACTATATACTGCTAATATTTGGGATAGGGGAGGGGGCCTCTGGGCAGTTTATAACGTATCTTAAAACACAGATTAAAAATCAAGTAATTTTTAATAATCCACAATCAATAACCAAATTAGCAACCCAAAGGGCACCATGGTAAGCATTACACATGAAAACCAAGTGCAATAATAACAACAACAATAATAATATAATCCTCCACGCTGCACCTTCAGAACTTGGTGTGATGGATCACGTGTTGCTAATACAACCCCCCCCCCTTTTCCGGAAGTCAAAAACACAACACACACAAATACCACCATGTTCAGTGGCGAGCGTTCTCCGAATGCAGCTTGCCAGCTGGCAGAGCAACCACAGCAGCAAATAAAACTTCAACGCTCTTGTTCACTGGGACATTAATGCCAGAACAAATTTGTTTCTGTTGACAGTGCCTTCGTTATGCAAATTGACGGCTTGTTCCTTCCACCACTCTCTCTACATGGAAAGCACTTCATGTCCTCGTCGGTGTTCACGTTTCCCTGCAGGTCAGCATCTGAACTTAAGGCAGATGCTCTCATAACAACTGCACATCACCCCAGACCAACTGGGCTATTCCATGGTATAGCCAGGGAACCTGGAACAGGTGGGGTGGAAGACACTGTCAGCATCCAGATTCCAGTCTTATGCATTCAGGGCTGGCTCCCATGCAGAATAATGTCTAGCAATTTATTTGCTGATGGGGAAGTAATGGCCACTGATAACATAGTTATTTAACAGGGGAAGAAGAGGAAGGCAGGGCAAGCTATGCAACGACAGCTGCTGTGGTATAAGTAGAGGCTGTGACATGGGCAGCGACAGCCTGCATAGGGCAAGTTAAGTAGGGCTGGACACTTGGAGCTGATCTGGAAAGAGTACGGCTTGCCATACTAAGTGAACAAAGTTCGGGCTCATGAGAACCCCATTGCACTTCTGCAGTGTGGAGACCAGAAGCACCTGCCTCCATTTTCAAATAGCCAGTTTGTTGTTTTGTCCAGACTAGGGAACTATGGATTGCTTTAGCTACCGTTGATTCCAAAAAGCCAAAATCAGGAGCCATGATGTGTATGTTTGTTAGCTAAGATCAACCACAGTTTATCCCATTGGGACCAAACAAACTGTGGTTAGTTGCAAACGTAGGCAGGTTCTTCTGATTTCTTCCTTGCAGCCACAATAAAGGAGGGAGTACACAGGCGGGTACATAGGGACGCAAGTGGCGCTGTGGGTTAAACCACAGAGCCTAGGACTTACTGATCGGAAGGTCGGTGGTTTGAATCCCCGTGACAGGGTGAGCTCCCATTGCTCAGTCCCTGCTCCTGCCAACCTAGCAGTTCGAAAGCACGTCAAAGTACAAGTAGATAAATAGGTACCGCTCCGGCGGGAAGGTAAATGGCGTTTCTGTGAGCTGCTCTGGTTCGCCAGAAGCGGCTTAGTCATGCTGGCCACATGACCCAGAAGCTGTACGCCGGCTCCCTTGGCCAATAAAGCGAGATGAGCACCGCAACCCCAGAGTCAGTCATGACTGGACCTAATGGTCAGGGGTCCCTTTACCTTTACACAGGCCCATATATGATTTGTGTAGAGCTAAACCATGGTTTTGCACCCAATCTACACTATACTCGTCCTAAATCAGCCTTCAGGAACCTGGTGGCCTTCCTATGCTTTGGACTGGGGCTGATGGGAGTTGTAGTCCCAAACATCAGGAGAGCACTAGGTTGAAGGAGACTGCCCTACATCATGTAACAGCTCCTTCCCTACGCAGATGCTGAAACAGAAGAAGCATTCACTTTTGTTTCAGGACTCTAGTGGGGCCAGGTCACTGTACTGAGGTTCCTCTTGTGCCAACAGCAACATCCCTGAACCTCTGTCCTATGGGCAGCACAACCGTAGGCTCTCAGCAAGTTATTTCTTTAAAAAGCAAAGCAAATACTGAGATGTCCTTAAGATATGAGTCATTTCCTTGCAGTATTAATTCAGTATCCAAACAGTATCGGCAACTGGCAACCCCTAGGCCAAAACAGGCCATGAGCTACCTAGCCCTAGAGCTGCAAGCCCCAGAGTGAAAACAGTGTGGATTACTTGGAAGCAAGTGATTTCCTTACAAGGTCAGCCTGTGCTCAGGTGAAACTAGCTGCCATACCTAACACTTTAAGGAGAATCATCTTGATGAACCAATGCTTGGTAATTGCAGGGATGTAAAAAAATAAATACATCACCAGGTGCAAGTGAAATATTTATTTTGCCTTTTGCAGCCTTGGATACCTGTTATTATAAATTTGTATACTGCAACTGCAAATCTCAGAGTGGTTCACAACATAAAAATACAATGTAAAACCACCAAATACATGATAAAAAACAGGAACAAAAACAAACAAACAAACCAATAACCCCAACTCGCCCCCAAATATTCAATAACTCAGGAACTCAGACATGTTTCCCCCCCAGTTCTATGTATTTATTGAAAAACAATCTCAACCAATAAATAAATAAATATTGCCCCTTATTACTAACCTAAGCAGGCAATCTATAAATCTCCCTGGGAGATTTGCTCAATGAACGAGTTCTCAGGAAACTCCTATCCCTGTCTCTCAGCTATTTCTAATAAACCTCTGTGCCTATCTGCCAGCTGAAGCTGACAGGGCATCTATATGCAAACAGTAATGCCGCAAACACGTTGAGATTTGCCAAACTCTTGGAAGATTTGGAGAGCTCCACTTTTCTGCTGACAGCCTGCTCAAATGCATCCCATAAACTAGCCTCTGCTAAAGAAAGAGGCATGGGAGGGGGGGATGAAGAGGGGTCAGAGGATGCCTGTCTATGCACGGAGACGCCAGCAGAAGCACGTACAGCCAGCACGCGCGGGCACGCGCAGCCAGCCACACACACACACCCCAGCTAGCTTTGCAAGCCCAGGGAAGGGGCACGTGCGCACGCGGGCACGTGTCTCTCCCTGCTTATATTTCAGCCAGCCGGTCGCCTGGTGCCTCTCCGCCGGCTGCAGGATCCCTCAAAGGCAGCCGGCCCATCACGAAAAGCAAACAGAAAAAACGCCACCCTTCCTTCTCCCCTTTTGCATTCGAGACGTTCAGGATTGGGGTTTCAAGCAATCGCCATCGTGGCTTCTTCCCCATGCAACCCCGACAAAAATACGCCGCGCCCACCACGTCTGAACATCTCCCGCCCCCCGGAAATGCCTCCTCTTTTTTTAAAGGTTTTGAGCCTGGGGGGGACGATTTGCAAAAGTGCTTTACTGTATTCTCTTTTGCATGCTTCAAAGAGGCACCGGAATGAGCTCATCCGGAGCTACTGGAAATCGGCTGGTGGGAGGGAACAAGCGAGCACACCTCCTCGGTCCTACTGCGCGGAGGGTAACCGGGAAACAGGCGCGGGTCCACGATCCATTCGCAGCGCGCGCGCAAAGTCCCGGAAACTAGCCTCCAAATATCTGCCCCGGGTGACGTGGAAAGCCCCGATTCCTGCTGTCCGGGTTTCTAGGATTTCTGCTTTCCAATGCACGCAACTGCACACACGTCCGGTGTTTGCAATGACTTGCATCGCGGTGCAAGCGTTACTGAAATAGCGGTTTGACTGTCATTCCCACCCACCCCTCGATACACACACACACAGCACGTCACAGGCAGAGGGGATCTTTAGCAACCTTTCAAAATAAAATTATTTAAAGGCCAGCAAATAATTTAAGAAGCCATTTTTAAAAAATAAAATTAAAAGTCCGAGGGTAATAAGTGCTTTCCCAAGAGCTCTTTCTACGGCCAACCTGCGGGCATAATCCAGCGGAAAGTTCTCCTGCGCAGCAGCAGCCGAGATGCAAGGAGACAGTATATGGCTTGCGCAGGATTTTCCGGGTTTCCCCCGGCTACTGTTGTTATTAGATCTCGTAGCTGCCTCCCATCCATCGGTGCCAGTGGCCGCGTAGAATAAAATGTCTTGCTGGAAAGGGGGAAGACATAATCTTGCACAGATGCGCAATACGCAGCCAGCAATCTTTCTTCGCCCCATTGCATGGGAGGATCAACCGCAGAAAGGGAGATTATTGGGGGTCCCGTGTGACAATACGGGGGGGGGGTTATCCTCATCTTCCAGTCTTCAAACCAACCCAAGCCTAGGCACGCCTAACTCGGCAGCAAGACCCACAGGCTGCGCCCGTGCCGTGCTTTATGGGCGTCTTAGTGCTACCTGGACGGATGTTGGACGAGGTGGGCCTTTGGCCTGATCCAGTAGAGGGGTGGGGTAGACTCTTCTTAATACGACTGACCCCTTCAGGTTAAGTGTGCGTATTGGATCGCGGGCTCAAAGTCAGGCTCTGTCACTCCAGGGCTGTGGAGTGCTAAATGTAATTATTATTCGTTCCACCCGCCCCGTCTGGAGAAAAAGAGAAAGGCGGCAGCGAGGCCATTATTAACAAGGAATCGGAAAGGAGTTGGGTTTGCTAGGAGGCTGCTGTGGGTCTCTCTATTCGTCGCCCCCCAACTGCAAGCCTATCACCCCCGTTTATACCCGGGAGGCAAAAGATCCCATTGATCTAATGGGAGAGCCTGAATTGCACGACGCAGAGAGATCGGGAAGCTTGCAAAGCCTCCGCTATCCAAGCTGAGCGAAAGGGAGCTACCCCCCCCCCTTCTATAAAAAAGCCTGCAAAAAAAAGGAGGCGACAGCACAACAGGATCGCACGCAGCGCCCGCGGAACGCAAAGCAACGCCTTTGGAACGCTCACCGGCTCTTGGCTGCTGCTGCGCCCCGGGAGTCCCAGGTGCGGAGACGGAGGCGGCACCTCTGTACTCTGCTTCCTGCTGTGCGCTACAATAACAACGAAGTTTTGCTTCCTTCCTCCAGCAGAGAGAACCAAGCGCGAGCCCCGCCTTTACGTGATTGACGTGCTGAGCCGCACCCAATGGGAAGCCGCGGAGGCCCTCCGGCTGAACCAATCGCTGCTTCCACCAGAGGCTGACATGGGGAAGGAGGGGTAGGTTGGGCCCAGAGTTCTAGTTTGGGGAGGGAGAGAGGCGGCCTGACAGTTAACCCTAGAGGCGCTGGAGGAAAATATGAAGTCCATATTGTGCTGGTGCAACTGCACTGTATATTTATTTCACAGAACCATAGAATTGTAGAGTTGGAAGGGACCCTGAGGATCATCCAGTCCAACTCCCTGCAACGCAGGAATATGCAGCTTTATCATATGGGGATCAAACCTGCAACCTTGGTGTTATCAGCACCATGTTCTAACCGACTGAGATATTTGTTTGCATTTATATCCCACTTTTTTTGTTTGTTCTCCCCCTCATTTAATTCCCCACAACAACCCTGTAAGGTAGGCTAGGCTGAGAGGCCAGCCCAGGGTCACTCAGTGAGCTGCGTGGCCAAGTAGGGGATTCGAACCCAGGTCTCCCAGGTCCTAGTCCGACACTCTTAACCACTACACCACACTGGCACCAAGCTAAACTAGGCAGCAGGAGGTTACTTAAAAGTGTGCAGATTTTATATTTAGATGGAAATATTTGACAGGTCAGAGGGCAATTCTCTCACAGACCAGTCATAACTATTCAGCGTACAGAGGCACTGCTAAGCACTCAAAAGACTCAGGGGCCTGTGGCTCCAATTTGCATATGCTAATTTTGTTAATGATTCTTACATTTATAGCACACTTTTCCTCCCAGAAGCTCAATGTGGTTCTCCCCCCCCCCTCACCAATTTTATCCTAACAATAAACCCTGTGGAGTAGTTTAAGCTGAGAGTCTGATAGGCTCAAGTGAGCTTCAGGGCTGAGTGGGGATTTGAACCTTGTTCTCCCAGGTCCATAGCTGTCAACTTACAGATTTGAAAATAAGGGACCAGCAGCCTCGAAAATAAGGGATCAGCAGCCCAAATAAGGGATTTTGCTTAGCTTATACATAAATCCGGCACTGATGGAGCCATGCTGCTTTTGCTGTGACTGACTGTTTTGCAGGGGGTTGGACTAGATGACCCTATGCCTCCGGCTTCCCCTGGCAGCGCGGCAGAAGTCTCGCAAGAGAGGGGCTGCCTGCCCACCCGCCGCCACCCATCTCCTCACGACACGCCCGAGGGGAAAAAGGGAGAGATGGAGACGCGACAGCTCGTGCGCACGCTCTCTTGTGTGGCGGAGGACCCCGAGCCACTGCTTCCCTCCTGAACGGGGTGAGCATGAAACCCGGAAATTTAAGGGACATCATCAATAAGGGACAGCAGTGGGACATGGCGCTGGGGTAAGGGAGTTTCCTGCCAAATAAGGGATGGTTGACAGCTATGCCCAGGTCCTAGTCCAACACACTCAGCACGAAACTGCATATGTATAGCTGCATATGTTGGTCCCAGAGCAAATTAAGAGGATAAGTGAGTGGCCAGCACAGTATGTGTACCAGCCCTGGAAGCAAAGTTAAAAATCATTTTTGGAACAAGGGCAGGACATCCACAGCCCAGCCCTCTAACAATACGCCTGACAGAGACTGGTAGCAAGGAGCCTAATTGCACATAAGCTCCAAGGAGGTTGATAAATTGAAGTAGACAATGAACACCTTTATGTTCCTGCAAGTTATTTTGCTATACTGTATAAGCTGTGCCACAAAGAGTAACTTCTGAGGAGAATTAATTTCCAGGTGAGTTTGAAATCCCAGTGACGTTAAATCTACCCCCAGGCCACATTCCAGCTAAATATTTTGGCAAGGGATGCTTTAATAAACCAACCACCTATAATTTGAATTCGCTGTGCTTGTTAACTGAATAAGAGAGATGCATTGATTAGAAGGAACAGTCTGTTCTTAAATGGCTCTTGCATTTTTATATTGCATTAGCAACACTCAGAAATGATGCACTGGATACTTGGGGAGCAAACCTATGCCCGCTTCTCTGGTAGTTACTTCTGAGTAGGCATGTATAGGATTCCTCTGCTAATGATTTCTTGCAGGGCCCTTCAGTTGCTGGGTATTCTGGATAGAAGCATGGATGAAAATTTTAGCTTTGCATTTGAAGGAAAATATAAAGACCTGGAGTGTTTAGGCTGACATCCTAAGTATGTTTACTGGGAAGTAAAGCCCCATTGAACAAAGTGGGGCATACTTTTGGTAAACATGCATAGAAGCCTGCTAGAAAGCTGTAATCCTGTGCATATGCTTAACCCAGTAGAATTTAATTCTGAGGACAAAAGTTACAGGTTTGGGCTGCACGACACAAAATGATTGCAAAATGCACTTATCGTTCTGATGTACAATAATGTGGCAGATGTGCAATGTCGTTTTGAGGCCGGGGTTCAGCTTGACAACAAACAAATGAATCAGAAGAGAGCCCTTGAGGCGCAGGGGAAGAGCTGGAGGCAAGCGCTCTTGAGTTAATTGGAGGGGAGCGCCAGGCATGACTCACTGGCTCAAGGAAGCGCATGAATACATGGCTGCACTTATTTTTAAACGTGATTTAAATGCATGGTACAAAGTCCATTTCTTAGGGAAAGGTCAGAGCTTTGCATGCAGAAATATCATTGGCATCTCTAGGTAGGGCTTGGAGAGATCCATCTCCAAACTGAAGTGATAGCGCATGGGTAGGCAAACTAAGGCCCGGGGGCCGGATCCAGCCCAATCGCCTTCTAAATCCGGCTCACGGACAGTCTGCGAATCAGTGTGTTTTTACATGAGTAGAATGTGTGCTTTTATTTAAAATGCATCTCTGGGTTATTTGTGGGGCATAGGAATTTGTTCATTTTTATTTTTATTTTCCAAAATATAGTCTGGCCCCCCACAAGGTCTGAGGGACAGCGGATCAGCCCTCTGCTGAAAAAGTTTGCTGACCCCTGTGATAGCGGGTATGAGATCTGGGCTGTACAGGATTAGAAAAACACCTTTTTGTGCAAACAAATCAGGATGCATAGTCAATTAACCTGGAGGAGCTTTTAGTTATTGCATCTGAGCCAGGATTAGCTAGAAATTACTGTGTTCTTTCGTGAAATTTTCTTATTGCTCGCTTTTATTGATCTTAAAGGCAGCAATCTTGTACCCACATGTTCCTGGGACTAAGCCCCATTGAACATCTGAGTAGATATGCGCGGGATTACACTGTAAATCAACTTTTAATTGAACCGTGGAGTGTACTTTTGCTAAGCCACAGGCTGTGCGGCGTTTGCGTGCCTAGCCATTTTGATTCCGTGCTTTTTAACTTGTGATGATTTGGTAACTATTCACTTGCTCAGCAAATCCCATTGCTCCAGAGTGCTTCCTGCTTCCAAGTCAGAGAACTGAAGGAGGTGCTGAAAGTGCTGTACGGTAGGATACAAAGACTGTGCCCCCCAGCCTGTCTAACCTTTCCAGAAAGGTGGGACTTGAATGCCTCTTTGGAACAAGCTCACCCGAACAAAAAGGCAAAAATGGGGCCAGTGATTTTTCTGGGACGGGATCCAGAAAAGAGGGCTTGTCTCTGGTAAATAGCAACAGCTGAAGAGTAGTTTGCACCTGAAATGCACAGAAGATTTCCTATGCATTTGATTCTCCTATAGTGTAATATTTACCGTTCATTTGTTTTGCACCAGGCAGAATGTATTAGTGAAGGCAGAGATTAAGCCGTTCCAAAAACCATTTAAGAAGAAAAGAGTCGCAGGCTTTTCAATTTGCTTGCAAAGAGGCAGTTCTTACAGGAACAGGGATTATCGAGGGAAGGTTTTAATGGCCTATAAAGTCTCTCCCACCCCACCCCCACCCACCCATCAGCTTTATCTCCTATAGGCCAGTTGCATTGCAACAGACTAGGAGAAGGAAGCAATCTTAACCTGTAAATAGACCTATAATCATTTAAGCTCTGATAGCAAAAACTTCAAAGAGCCTCCTGGCACCTTGCAGACCAGCAGATTTATTATGGCATAAGCTTTTGGTGGACGATAGAGTCCACTCTGCCAGATGTAGGAAGTGTTTTCCTCAGTTGGCACTTCCGTGTGTGTGTGTGTGTGTGTGGCAGGGGATGCGAAAGGCAATTCACTTAAAGCTAGATGCAGGCAAACAGAGCGTCGTGACTGTTCTCAACAGAAGTACAGTGGTACCTCAGGTTGCATACGCTTCAGGTTACAGACTCCGCTAACCCAGAAATAGTACCTTGGGTTAAGAACTTTGCTTCAGGATGAGAACAGAAATCGTGCAGCAGCAGCGCAGCAGCAGCAGGAGGCCCCATTAGCTAAAGTGGTGCTTCAGGTTAAGAACAGTTTCAGGTTAAGAACGGACCTCCAGAATGAATTAAGTTCATAACCCGAGGTACCACTGTAACGGGAGATTTAAGGGATTGCAAGACCGTCTCGGCAGTCATGCATCCTTGCCATCAGTATGTTTGCCTAGCGTGTGAAGGGTCTCTACTACTCTATGCACCTAGATCTCTTATTCATATGGGGAAAGCTCGGCCAGTCAGGATGCCCTGTTGCGCAGGGTCCTGAGTGTGAGTCCCATTGAACAACTTTCATGAAGGAGATGTATACGCCTACTGGTGCATGTGTGGAGAGCACTTTCACATGTACACTGTTGGCAGAAGTAGCTCATTCATTCATTCATTCATTCATTTGGAGGGGGGAGGATGTGTCTGAACACGAACACACACCGACAAGCATCCTGGTTTTGCTAAGTTGTCAGGGGCATGGCTCAACAGCATCACATCTGCTTTGAATGCAGGCAGTTCAATCCCTGGCAGTTAGAGCTGGGAGAGGCTCCTGTTTTAGGCAGGGCCTAGACCCTGCTGGTTCATGAGAAAGATACAAGGGGATGATATTCCCTACAGCATGGGTAGGCAAACTAAGGCCCGGGGCCGGATCTGGCCCAATTGCTTTCTAAATCTGGCCCACGGACGGTCCATGAATCAGCATGT